AAGCCTTATCGCTGCTAGCGATAGATGTTGGCCAAGTTCCAAGAAATGAGCGTGCCCAGGGTACCTACGATGGGGCCGTGGAGGACGAGGCAATCATAGCCGAAACCGCAACTTCGACCGCATTCGGACCCATCTCGCAGAGCGAGACTACGAAGCGTACAAAATTCATACGAGATTAATGGTCTCGAGACCTCAGCTCTCGTGTCTGTCTTTGGTAAACCAACCGTTGCAGGTAATAATTTGCAATCCAATCATTCACGTTTCAGACTTTAACAGGATAAATAGTAAAACATATTGTTTCGCGTCTGCGTTCGGTCTCCGATGGTCTCCACGAGCCCGCACCACCACGGGCAGAATATGGTGGTTCATATCAAATCCTAATCTGGTATGGGCAAGGTAGCCGGCGCATCAATGACTTGGTGGCGTTGTGTATCTTCGGCTTTCCAATATCATGGTGGCTGTCAGGATTTATGATGCCATCAGAGGAGACTGCGTCTGGGCACAGGCAGGGCTTCTGGACTGGAAATAGAGAACAGTACCGACACCGACAGGGGTAAATAAAGACAAACGACCCAACCTACGCCGACACAGCAGGTCCCTAACCATTATTATGGGTAATGGGTATGGATATGTACTCACCTGCTGTGTCAAAGACACGATTGTCGCACTACCGTTGCATGGGTAGGCTCACCAGCTACGCCCACACAACAGGTTCCCAATACTCACCCGCCTTTCAATTACCTGGGAAGTTTTGCCCATCCCCAGGATCCCAATACCTACGCTCACTTTGGCCAGACTCTCAGTAGTCCTAGCAGTATGCACCAGATATACAGTCCAATGGTTGTGTCGACAATAACAGTCGATATCTGTACTGAACCGGAATGCCTCATGCTCTTTAAAGAGCCTTACCAAAGGCCGCCGCCAGAATGCGCGGAAGGTTCCCAATCTTTCTCGACATCTGACCCAGCGGCATCGCAGCATATCCTGCTGGGTGGGGGAGCAGCCAATTGGACCTCATCTTTAGGCAGCCACAACTCCTGGGTCTCTACATTCTCTTCACAGGATGTGTATTGGACCCAACGTGCTCCTACAAGAAACATGGCCACACTAGATGGTCATGACGATCCTTTTGTCAACGCCGATTCCAAGCCGAAGGGCGAGGCCAAGCTATCGGCAACAGCGGTATCAGTACTAGCACTCTATCCCCAATCACAGTGGGCCCACGTACTCAATTAACCCCCTACAACTCGAGCCCTCATCAGAGAGGTCAAGATCGTCCCACATTCAATAATCCATTCGGCTCTTCACTTTCAATGATGACGCCATTCACTGGGAAAAGGGAAAGGTCTTCAAGCCATTTGCACTCCGACTATATATCAACCTCAACAACCGTCCTTCTGTCTTGCTAATTGATATTACTGCTTCTGAGGCAGTTGAGGCAGAATCCTTGTGCGAATAGACAAAGCTATCATTAGCAGGATCCCTCCAATACGAAGCAGCTTCACCTGACTTCTGGCGGACACCAAATCGACTGTCAAAATCACGGTCGCCTGGGAAGACAAGAGCAATACCCATCGGCATGAAGGCACGGGAAGTTGGAGCCTTCCGGCCCTCACAGGAAGACAAAATGGCTTGGGCGAGGCTATTGAGAAGGGAAACCAGATTCTGATGCGATGCTTTTGGCCATTCTGGGTCTTTGGTCTATGGCCATGGATGCGGAGGGAGAATGTATTGATAGAGTTGCAAGTGGTCAAGTCGATGAGATGTGTGAGATAGATTATGAAGGTCATTCGAAGAAGTCCCTTTTCCCTGCCGGTGCCCAATACCTCGATTATCCCGAAGAGGTAATTGATGGGGTTCGCTCAGCAGTGACTTCACTGGTACTAACATTCCCGGAATGAAAGCAGTGTACTAACACTCCTCGTTCTCTACACTACTACGAGACTAGCTGAGAATCCTCATGATCCTTCTGCTCCAGCTTCTTGGTGGGGTCTTGTACACCCGCGCTTCGTTGCTCCGTATATGCTTTTCACAGTTGGAACCCTAAGCAGATGAATCGCAGTAACGTCACGGGAATATTCATTTACTCAGCTGTACCAATTCTTTACTTTTGTTTTACACGGCATCATATCCTCATCTATCCAAATCCCTCACCCACATCTATCATTCCTCACAAGTCAAATCCCCATCCTCCCCTTCCTACTCCAGATACCTTACGGAAACAGCCTGTGGGATAATTAGTTTTGCTAACAGTGCCATCTCTTTGATGGATCGAGGGGGGCGTACGTTTAACAGATGGCTGCACGGCCATTGCTTTCGCCGCAGTAGTGGTCACGAGCCTCGACCTCGACTGGAGCTGGGACAGGGGCGGGTTCTGCAATTGGTGCTGCGATGGCGAGGCTGAGGAACATGGCGGCGGTTGCGAAGAGGGTTGAGAATTGCATTTTGAATGTTGTGGTGTTTGGTGTTGAAGTTGGAGTTTGATTGATCTGTCTTGGGGGTGAGGAGTAGTTGCAAGAGAAGGTGGTGTCTCGGGACTACTTATACGTTTAGTATATGATGCATCTCTATATGTTTATAAGGCAGATAGATCCTTCGAATTCATTCAGGAATCAGATGCACAGCACGAGTAGATTTTGAGATAAGGTTCGAGGATTGAAATCGGGTTCTCCGTAACTAGTAAATAAGTAAATACTCGTATGTCGTTGGAATTGACGTAGAGTCAGCCGCGATTCTTATGCTAAGCTGGCAAGTAAGTAATACCTGCCGCAGATACCTTCCACAACCAGCCTAGAGAAAACTTATTTATACGGGGTAACCGCGTGGAGAAGAGCGCCTCTTCAATGTCCAGTGTATGTATTGAGATTAGTAGCTAAGATTATTTTTGTACTATATGAAGTATCGCTCCGTTGGTAAGGAAGGAGCGCTACTGTGAGTAAGCGCACGAAGTAGCAAATTGAACGGCAATCCTTTCCGATAACGATTCATATTCCGAATGAAGAAAGATCGGCTTCCTAGGCTACGCGATCCTTTGTATGTAAATATAGCGCTGATATGCACGCTAAAAGATATGTCTAATTCTTATTCTATGCATATGGCTTTTGAGGGGGTTCTGTAACAACTATTGATAAAGGTATAATCTTGAAATTTTCGATAGTTTTACCAGAAGATATTTAATCTGATTACTCAAAAGACTTGAAATATGGCAACTTTGCATGATTTTTTAATAAAGGGGCATGGAATATTGGTTTTTGGTGTTTATGAACAAGCGAAGTTCGGCAATTCGGTACTCGTACTGTACCTAGTGTTCCCCCGGATTTTGGTGCGAAACAAGGTCGCTCTTTCTGATTGGTCACTATATCCATATTTAGCTCTGTAGAAAGTAATATAGTTGCGTGAAAGATAACGGGGGAGACGGGGTGGCCGAATCATCATAAAAAAGTGGTCTTCCATGTAACGTGGGGTAAGACGGTGCTGTCCTGCCTGTTGTCATTCTCTCAAGGAATCTTGCTCCTTTCTCTTCGCGCGCTTCTCCAGCCAAAATGCAATATAGCAAATTGGGGCAAGATGAAGAAGCATCACTTGACGACGGCGTGAAAGCTCCTTCACATACCAGTGCTTTATCTCACATAGTACCTTGCGGCTCTAAATGGTTCTGGGGAACTGTCCTGATTCTATACTCAATTCTACTTTTACTATCCGGTGCATGGCTATCATCATTATGGAACCAAAACAGCGCGAATATAGAACGCCTTCCTAGCTACGATTCAAGATGTAACAAAGTCCCTTTTTCTTTGATACATGTATGCTACACTTCGCTAATCCAATATCCAGCCCCACTACTCCACCAAATCGACCTCACCACCCACACCAAAGAATTCGACGTGCAATTCTGGCCCGGCAGCAACCCGTCCATCTTCCGGCAAGCCCCCTCCCCCGAAGTCGACGCAGCATGGGAACGCATCACCAACGTGCGCGACATAGTCCTCAGCACCGCCGACATCCTCGCCCTCGGAAAAGACCCCGCGACCACCGTCAAAGCCCGGCCTGAATGGGGATACGGCGACGATGCGCACCTGGGCCTCATCCACGTCATGCACGAGTTGCACTGTCTCAATGCCCTACGCAAGGGCATCTACTACAACCACTACTACCGCGACGTGCGCGGCTTTGGCGCGAACCCGCCAGGTGATTATAGGGCCAAGTACTACGCGCATATGGACCACTGTGTGATGCTGCTTATGGAGAGCATCACGTGCGTGGCGGATTTGACGGTCACGACGTACAATTGGATGGAGGGGGAGAGTGTCCCCGAGGGAGATTTTAGAAGTCAGCATGAGTGCCGCGATTTCGAGGGCGTGCTGGACTGGTTCGAGGAACATCAGATTAATGCGAATCTTACGCTGCAGGAGGAAGAGGAAAGGTGGACGGGTTTCCATCCAAGGCCGGGCGATACTTTGTTGCCGCAGGAGCCTGAGCAGGATGCGTCGTTTTGGGATGTGAATATGTTTCCAGAATGAAATGAGGATATTGGTTTTAACTGTTTGGGAATTGGAAAGTAACGGCGGTGAAGGTTGCATGGGGACGTAGTTTGCGGCTGTGAACTCTGGTGATTCAAGCTGGCATGCAAGTAAATCGCTGGAGATCAACAGCTACTATGCGGTTGCCGGAGAGGTTAACCCTTGTGGAAGTGGCTCTGACTAAAACGCCTCGGTGAACGTTTCAATTCTGCTTTGCTATATTTGACCAAGAACCCATCTCAGATATTAAAATATCTCAATCTCTGCAAGCACAGAGTGTGTCCACTACTAAATTTCGTATATTCATCAAAAACTTAATTATAACGGTCTGCTAGAAATGTATTTAGTGTACATACAACAACAGTCTTGATATATGCCATGTAAATTCCTCCTGATTTCTCTCCTGTCCCTTCCCCGGCACTATTCTGCAACCGCTGCCACGAGTAACACAATTACAACCGCGCTTTTTTGCCATTCATCTCATTGAACGAGATCAGACAGACCTGCTTGTTGTATATTTTCCTTCAAAGTTCCATTCAAGACAATCCCAAAAGGGCCTGCCTCAAGCGGACAGAAGGAGTCATTGCCAGGCAGCTGGCTGGTTTGGAAATAGGCTTTCATCTTGGCAAAGCCGCAGTAGTTCACGGGAGCGCTGGCGGTGTGCTGTGAGATCATTAGCGTGGATGAATAGCGCCTGGCCGACGAGGTTTGTACTTACCCCCATTCCGTCGATAGTGAGCAACTGGGCATTCTTGTAGTTCGGCACAGAGGAGATTGAGCTGTTATGGCTGTCAGTTTTGCTTCGTATTTGATAAAGGGGGGTGGGGGTGTTGAATCACTTTTCAATGGGTGTCACTGGGTCGTATGTGTTGCTGACGAAGAGGATAGGTGTTGCTGTGTCGCCACCAAATGGCCCACTGAATATTTCCTTGGCCTTGATTGACCACCCAAGACATTCAAGCAATGGCTTGCTCCAGACTTCCCCGATGATGCTCTGGTCTTCAAGCTGGTTGAGCTGAAGTCTTAGGTCTTGTAGCGTTTTGTTGTAAAACTTGTTGTTCTGGTCAGCGCACAAGACACCGGATGTCCATTCTGGGGCTTGATCGCCAGCCGTGGTGGGATCACCGTATATCGCTTCGACTTGCTCTGTCCACGGGCTGATATCCTGTGCCAAAATCGCACTTTCGAGATCCAGTAATATTTGGGATAGTGAGCTAAATTCTGACAGTGGCTCGTCTACAATCGCCAGCATTGTGACTTTCAACATGAGCAATGCTGCCTCGAGATCGGTAGCATTGGACCAATTCTCAATCTCTGCTTTCCGAGGATCAAGCTGTATGAACGAGGCATTGAAGCGCTCATAGATATCCATTGCGGTAGATCCGGTATAGTAAGAACACTGCGAAAGTCCCGCCTCGTGGCAGTATACGAAGAAAGCGGCGATGACTCCGTCCGTGTGAAAAAAAGTAGAGGTAGTGTAATTAGTCAAGTAGCTCTCAGGGCCCACCACGCCGTCCAGAGCCACATTTCCTACGCGCTCGGGAAACATAGAAGCGAACGTTTGGCCAATAAATGTCCCGTAGCTTCGTCCATAGTAGTTCACGAGGTGGCTGGGCTTGGAGGCTCTTGCGCCGTCTGCCGTTTCTGCGAATGCATCGGCGATGCTGACCATGTCTCTTGCATTGACTGCCGTGGACATGTGCGGACCGGCATCCTGGTCTCCTCCTGTGAGTTGCTCACACTGCGCCCCAACCTCCTTGCCATACTGAATTTGACTGTTGTAGAACTCATCCGTGACTCTCGGGACTGATCTGGAGCTCAATGCAATACTCTGGTTCGTACTTATGCCGGTTGAGCAGTTGGCCAGGGGTTGGCTGAGCCACATGCCTCTGGGATCAAATCCGATGATGTCCCAATTGGTCCCTAGGATAGCCTGGATGAGAGACCCGTTGTTCAGAGCTTCGCTTACACCGGAACCACCAGGTCCACCGGGATTCAAAAGCAACATGCCCTGATAAGCGCCATCGGAAGAGTTGGCTTGGGCTGGGACCTTAAGGAGTGGAACAGAAGCTCGACCCAAAGTAGGGTTTTGGTAGTCAAGCGGTACCTAGAGAACTCGGTCAGTATGTAAGACAAAGGTTTGAGGAAAATTCAACCAACATCAAGCCTGGCGCAGAAGAATCCGCTGTTGCAAGGACACCAAGTGAGCGTCTTGGACGGGGATATGTTTTCCAACGTACAGTTGCCGGAAGATGATGCTGTTGCCAGGCGAAAAAATCCCAGAAGGGCAAAAATGAATGGAAGCCCCATGAGGAAAGCGGGAGAATAAACAGTGAGTTGGGCACGGCTTTAATAATGGTTGATATCAAAAAGATAGATTGGGTAGAGAATGTGTAAAAAGCGAGTGTGATGATTTTCAATACATTGGATCGGAATCGTGGGTTGTATTTATATCAACTCCTATACGTGTACCAATACCTGTCCAAGTCAATGACAAGTCGGCATGATCGCCAAGTAAAGCATTTCATGTTGATTCGTACCTTACTTGGGACGACTAAACTACCTTTGCTGCGCATTCCGGGCATTTTTGGTGTTGTTCAAATCCTAGAATCCGCTAAAACGACAGGGTCCGTACGAGCAGGCTAACCAAGAACGGTACATCGCAACGCGGGGGGTTTGCACTTCTTCCTCGAGGATCTGTAGACTGACCTCATAACAAGAGCTATGACCACGAAAATATTATAGCAATCTTCGTTTGCAATTTACTATGAGCTCGTATATGGCCCTGAAGGATTTTTCAACCTCGTAAGGGTGCTCTGTTAGGGAAACAAGTAGCCGTTGGCGGAACGGCGCCCTTCAACTCCCTTTAGATAGTGTGTAAAAGCCACAAGACCCTCCAGGAGCCGTGCATTTCGACGTTCACATGCCTGGTATTTTGAACAAGGTCCTTACGACCAGGGACCTTACGAGATGAGCCAACATCAAGTTACACTACCAAGTGAATACCTCTTCGACCACGTTAACTCGAGCTCTGCCCCACTGTTCCTTTTTGCTATACAAGAGGCGACCTCCTTTTGCATCCAGTTCAAGGAATGGTTGGACTCTCGACAACTCCGCCCCATCTAGGCTCCCAGTGGATGTTTCCAATTCGTCCAACGCGCTCTCTTCGATTTCGACAACTCTCTCGGCAGCTTTCGCAACCAGTAGACTATTCCAAAGACCCTCTTGGCGTGAGGTTGAGCGAAGAAGTGTAATCGCTTTCCGGCGAATAATAGGATCTTGACACTGACTAGCTACAGTGTAAAGCGGAATAAGAATCCCCATATCCAAGCAAAAAGAATTTGTTGTCCGGTTGTCACTGCTAGGTAACGCAGAAGAGATAACCTTCTCACCTAGTAAGATCATTTGTTGAAACCGTGGTAGGAAGGAATCCCGGAGTGAAGGATTATTTGAAGGTAGCTGCTCAAGATGTAACGAAGCATAGCTGTATAGCACATGCAGTTGAAGAACTGCTATTGCAATATCTTCCTTTTGAGTCAGAGATGACCCTTTCGAGTCAATCAATGCTCGCAGTGCGAGCGAGAACTTCGACAATAAAGTTGTGTATCGGTCTGTGCGGGCTTCAACGGCTTCAAGAAATTGTACGGGGTCGCATGATACTAGGGCTGCTTGCGTACTGGCAAATTGGCAACGCCAATATTCTAGGGTGTTCCTGGCCTCTTCAACACTTGAGAACGAGACAGGAATTGAATTATGCATTATGTCGTCGATAGAAGGCTCATGGACTGTGGATTCATAGTGTCCAATCATCTGGTCCATACGGGTCAGTCACTGCAGAGTCTGTATGGGCAAAAATAAATTTCTTACCGCTGAAAGATTGAAATCTAGTCCTGCAAATATTTTGGTAAGATCTTCCAGTGGGGCGTACCACTCATTCTGAGTCTTGGAACCAAGTTGGTCTCGAATCTCTCCAGTCTGCTGCTGGTAGTGAATTTCTCGGAGTAGCTTCGCGCCACTTCGAATATGTAATCCCGCTGAGGTATAGTGCCCTCGCATATTCTGAACTAATCAGCATCCTGAAGAAAATAGCGACGTGACCTAGAATACGCGTAGAAAGTAGGACATACCTCGAAACAGGTGAAAAGGATACACGATATAAGGCAAACGTCGATGGATCGCTGCCCATTCTGAGATAGAGGAACTAGTAGCTCTCTGATTCCGAGATTGTACTGCTGTAATGCAAAATCACGTTCTTCATCTATATCTCCTGTTTGATACTCCAACGTTTCATGAAGTGAGCCTATAGCAACGATAGCATGGTAAACGGCCGATTCATGATATGCAGCTTGGAGGACATGTTTTCCCCAAAAGTCAGATCGGAAAAAGCCAGCTAGTGATAGGCAGGACCGCTGCACGAAGAACTCGAACGATCTTCTTGATTTTGGGGGAACGTGAACGTCAAATGATGGACCTGATGTAACGTGCACTACCGGTAAATTACAAGGCAACTGGTGCAAGAGCTGGACATCGTTGTAGCCCTCACAGGCACGGCGTGCGGATGAACATTTAAGACAGGCTGGTCGCGTCTCATCACATTTCACTCTTCGTACTGCACACCAGTCAGGGATTGGTCTTTGGCCCTATTTGAGATGCAATACTTACTTTTACACGTGATGCAGCCAGACCTTGTTTTCGGCCGGTATGCCCGCTTTCTTCTCCCTTTTGCGACCCTGGGCATCTGAAGCGCAAGGTTCTCTATCGAATGCTCTTGGAGAGAAAGTTCTGCTCAATGTGGAAATGATATTAGTAAGAGATCAGTATTGATTAATCAATGTCAAGTTTGAAGGTTCTCCAAGAAGTTGATTATACATCGAATGATTTGAAACTCCGCCACCCCCTTTAGTGGCTGTGGGTGCCGTTTGAGCTAGCCCCATAGCACTAGTGCCCTCATGCCCCTTCTGAGGCAAGCAGTAGGTATGATGGCCCCCACGAGGCAGGGCATAGTCAACTTTTCTTCTTTTCTTTGCGAAAAAAAATCCTCGCACGATCGCCTTACTGCCAATATTCTGTTTTGAATTATCCCAAGATATTCCCAGTCGGATTTACTTAGATCAAAAACATCCCCGCTTCTGCTTTCAAAATCCATCTATCGACTCTGCCAATACTCTCAAGTAGAATCCATCATACTCGCAACTTATGACAGCCACTGAGTTATGTCTATTTACCTGATCTTTCTCTGAATCCTTCACCATATCTGAAAATGAGCTGGCATCGAGGTCCCGCCATTGATCGGCAAACAATCATTTGGACAAGCACTAAATGCAATAATCAAATCCATCTCAGCCCTAAAAGTAATGAACTGACCCGCCTCAGTCGTCGGCACTTCCCAAGAAAGCATTTGTCCATCCCGAACCGGGATATACATGAATATGTTGAACGGACTAGGCGAAAACTCTTGTCCCTGCTCTCCTAGCTCATCGAGCGCGTTCTTCAAGTTATCCGTACAATTGTCGTGATATTCGGCAAGGTGGAATTGCTTAACGTAACGATGAGAATCACATGCTGCCATCAAGGTATCGTGATTGCCTGGTGTGGTGTCTTCGACGATGGTGAGAATAGGGTCGCGGCGGTTGGTGACAAATGAGTCTCCAATTGCGGGGAGGATTTTGTCTAGGTGAGCTCGAGTGTGTTCCATGGACATTCGTTCGGATAGTTCGTGGGCGTTGAAAGCCCAGGTATCCACGACTTGTTTGCCGTGGGTGTTTATGAGACGGATAAATTGGCCTTTTGACACTCTCGCTGCCTTGCCTTTCCGAGCTGGAATTTCTTGCTTTTCCGCGGAAGAACTGAGTTGAGGTGGTGGAAGCATATTTAGTGTATGATGCAAAAGTGAATGATTAACCTGAAGAAAGAGATATGGTTATCAATTCGGGTGCATGTGAGTAGACATATAGTATCAAGGAAGCTATATATCCCACTTTTGCAGATGTCCGCGGAGACTGCTTAGTCAACAATATACTTATATATAGCTTCATTTTAGGCTGGATTGAGCCTATAATCCTAATTGAACATAGTCATCACTGCCATTTACTCTGCTATAAGAAGTTTGGATAATCTGATCACGTGTGCGTTCTCTTTCTGTAGTTTCTTTTAAATAGGAAACAATTCATTGCTGATCGTTTGTTTTGTAGAAAGCTAACAGATACACAGTATCCAAGACCACCAAATGAGAGAGCAATCTGATGCCGAGGGCGTTGGTAACCGTACCGGCGAAGAATCCGACAACAGCAAAGGTTGCATAGAGCGCGGAGTTGAGGGCGTCATTAACATAGACATTCTCGGCAAGCTGTTAGCAAATGATAACATTAGCGTTGAGGACTGGGTCGGTACTCTGGAGTCTATACGCCGGGACCAAAGACGTTCGCATCCTTCGAGCATGACCATCAACGTCCCTTCCAGCTTTTCTGCGCGCGAAGCAAAGACCGTTATGACTAGCGCAGCTTCTGTCCCACTCGTAGTTCATGAACGAAAGGTTGTCGATACAGTAGGTAACGACTCAGACGATGTTCTAGACCGAATAATTGCGATCCTAAAAATCTTGCTCGAGCAGATAAAGAAGGCAAGACGCCTTCCGACACGGCTTTGCCTTCTGGCCATCAGGATCTGTTACTAGTTCTCGACAGAGGTTCAAAAAACAAAGAACCAGGCTACAGGCCAGCTGAGGCAATTGAGCTTTCTACTTAACTTAATAGTATAATACTGTGGTATCATAAGTATTAATCAAGCCCCGGTTCCAGATTCTGACCGTCTTGGTGCCGGCCTGGACATGATGGCTTTCTCGTCAGCAAGGCATTTTTCCGCCTTGTTAGAGACCCAGAATTCTGGAGCCAACTACGAGCTGAAAGCCTCGCACTCGGTGACAATGGCCATATACTAGAGCCTCCAAAGTCGCTCCAGCTCTTGAAATACGTCTTCCACGGAACGCGCCGGGTAACAGGTCCGTCCACGCGTGTGTTACGGGCCGCAATTGGGAAAAAATCGTGCCAGTTGGGAGATCTTGACGGGAACGCTCCGATGTTTGTGACCATGCTTAGCTCTAACTCTTCAAGGAATTCACCATGACGAAGATGTTGGGGCGAAGCCACCGGTCCAAGCATGAGAAATGGAAGCCTATCTAGGAAGATTCTCGTTCGACTTCTTGGAGGACCGAAGAGTTGTCCTGCACAGGAGACGCACCATATCATCAGATTCATGTACTTGTCAATTTAACGAGGGAATTCTTGCGGATTGAGGTATGAATCCGGTGGTGGCGTATGTGGACAGATGGCGCTGTTCCCGGAGAGTGGGGTTGGTCGTGTTATTCCCATGTATATGATTGCCTAAAGAACGACCAGGAACTTTAAGTTAGTAAGCTGTAAGCAGAGATAATCCTAGAGGCATCTTGACTTATCATCCGATGGTGAGCATTTGTTCTCTGCCTCTCGAATTAAGCTCATGAGAGTCCGTGCTGTGCCTCCATTGGTTCCCTTTGCTCGGACCATCACGATATCCGTATACGGTAATACGATACGATACGGTAATAATAGTAAGGTCAACAGGAGGAATATCCAAGTCTAGTATTTGTTTGGGGAAAAGATTCTTCTCTTGAAGGCTGTGGCTATTGTTACTTCACGCATTTTATTCAGCATTCTGATGCCAGCGTTCTGATTTCGATTCGTGGGCCCTATATTTCCCAGGTTTAACCTTTATACCCTGGAACCACCTGCATGCAGATAGAGGCAGGATGCTTGTCTACCCCTCGCCAACTATCAGAACCCTTGGCTTGGTTTGCGCATAAAATCGATGCCGCCTACTCCGTACCTGCCTTTAAACCGAGTACTACGAATTTCTTGTTGGATTATTCTATAAACTTTCAAGAAGCTAAGAGCGTCTTTATGTGTGACACAGCCACGTCCCCAGCCACAGACAGGGTCAAAGAGGCTAAAACATTCGAGGAAGTTATTCGCAAAACCGTCAGTCAGTCAGCACAGGACAAAACCTAACAAGGATCACCCTATGGTTACATCGACCCCTCAACTATAATCAATCGGTCGAGCAATTGACCTGAGATGGACGTCATATCCGCCCTGGGCCGTCAATTGTACCAAGTAAAGTAAGTCAAAGTACGGACGTAAGCGGCAATCACGATGATCAGCGCACCTTCCCATATGGGAAGGTCATTAATGCACGAACCAACCGACTTTCTGTGAGTTCGAGTATTGGTACAACATGGAAAGAGCGAGCCTCATCATGTATCTATATAAGATGCCCAAACCCCGCCCCCCGTTGTATATATTTCCAGCGCTGTCTGCATGACAGCTTCAATTCCGAACATAATGCACTCTTCACTTCTTCTGGCTGCAGCCGTGTGCATCACGGCTTGCTCTGCTGCACCAGCTACCGAGAATCACAACTTCGTACTACACGAGAAACGCGACGGACCTCCTCATCAATGGACCAAGCGGACACGCGCTCATCCTGCCGAGATACTTCCTGTCAGAATTGGACTCACTCAAAGCAACCTGCACAAGGCCGAGGAGTACATCCTTGATGTTTCGGACCCCGAGTCTCCTAATTTCGGTATGGACGTCTGAATTCAAATAGCAGTAGGAATGCTTATCATAAACAGGCAAGCACTGGTCAGCTGAGAAGATTGCCAATACTTTCGCACCTTCTAAGAAAACTCAAGATGGAGTTGTGGACTGGCTCGTCAAGTCTGGCATTGATGTGGGGAGACATAAATACTCGACAGGTATGTAGATTAATGCACTCTCGCCGGTCCACCCTCATCTAGAGAGTCCTAAAGTTTTTCAATGTCCAAAAAGTTAAGACTGACGAAATAGGCCGGAATTGGCTCGAAATCAATGCCACAGTGGCCGAGACGGAAGGACTTTTCAATACAGAATATCATTACTACGAACATGACATATCAGGAGGTCATCGTATTGCTTGCGATGAGTACCATTTACCCCAGAGTGTGCGCGAGCATATCGACTTTGCAGTGAGTTACTTTCAATGCTACTGAATTAGGCGTCTTGAATGCTGACTGGTAACGAAGATGCCAACCATTCAACTTGAAGGGATGCGCCCCATTCCTAATCTAGTCCCGCAGACAGCTGCTCCATCTCCTTTCACCGGTTTGACGGGGCTTGCAAACTGCGCTCGGCTGTACACCGTCGAATGTTTGCGCGCACTCTACCAGTTTAGCCCTGGAAACACGAGTGCCGAAAGTAATGCCATGGGTATTGGCGAATTTGCGGATTTCCTTTACTTGCCTGACCTTGCAACTTTCTTCCAAAACTTCACCACCCAGCCCATTCCTGCGGATACCGTCCCCCAGTTCATTTCTATTGATGGAGGCCAAACTGCCAACGCCTCATATGATCAGGCCGAGGACTCAGGTATCGAATCAGCTTTGGATTTCCAGACCTCCTATGCCATTATTTACCCCCAAAAGCTTAGGCTGTACCAAGTCGGGGATGGTGTCAACATGGACAGTGTCGGTACCTTCAACATCTTTCTTGATGCGTTGGATGAGTCGTACTGCAGTTATCTGGGTGGCGATGCGCCTTATATTGATCCAGCATACCCGGATCCCAACGAAGGCGGATACACAGGTCCATTGCAATGCGGTGGCGCCCCATTGAGCAACGTGTTCTCATTCTCATACAATCAAATTGAAGCATCTCTCCCAGTGTCTTATCAAACGCGACAGTGTCACGAATGGATGAAGATGGGCCTCCAAGGAGTAAGCGTCCTTTTCGCATCGGGTGATTCTGGTGTTGCCAATCGATACAATTCAGGCTATGAGAATAGCTGTCTTACTGCCCCAGATGTGGGCCCTTATGTCGATAGCAACGGAACTCGCTTTTCGCCTTCTTTCCCCACAAACTGCCCGTGGATTACAGCTGGTAAGACATCCTGATATCTTCATCTTTTGACCAAGAACTAACACACAACAAGTTGGGGGCACAATGCTTCAGGGAGGCTTGAATGCAACAATCACGGCCGGCGAACAAGCCGTGGGTCAAGCTGACCCAACTAACCCAAAAAACGACTTCTACTCTGGTGGCGGCTTCTCCAACGTCTTTGAACTTCCCAAGTACCAATCCAAAGCCGTGAGCAACTACCTGACCGAGTACCCGCCCCCCTACACCTCCGATATATTCAACAACAGCGGCAAAGCTCGCGCCTACCCCGACGTCTCGGCCATCGCAATCAAGCTCCCAACCGTATGGCTCGGGGAAGGTCTAGCGGTCGGCGGCACAAGTGCATCAACACCCATCGTTGCAAGTCTTGTGGTCTTATTAAACGAAGCCAGAATTGCTGCGGGCAAGGGCCCGATCGGCTTCTTGAATCCCACCCTGTATGCGCATCCTGAAGCATTTAATGATGTCACTGTAGGTGGCAACCCGGGTTGTGGCTCTGATGGCTTTGCAGCGCAACCGGGATGGGACCCGGTTACTGGGTTGGGCAGTCCGAATTATCCTAAATTAGAGGAGATATTCTTGAAGTTGCCGTGAAGGGATATACATCTAAGGACGCTCTAAAATTAGACAATCAATTGATTCATGGCTTTGAAGCTTGCATTTCCCATGATTTGTCTGTTACGTGCTGTAGTGATATGCGAAGGCCATTTCTGCTACTTTAGATTACCGATCTTCATCATCGAATTGCTTAATCCAAGTAGAGAGTCCCGACAAATGAGGGTACCTGCCTATCAAGTCTTCGCTTCTAACTTACTATGTTCCTCTCTGTCACATACTCTTCGTCTGACTTTAGGACTAAGTAACTCGCTTTTCCCCCTTTACTAATAACTAACTGACTAACTTATCACCCAGCCTGCTTAGCTACTGTCATATTCCCCCGTTCTAATGTGCACCCATCAGCCCATCCTTTAGGGACCTTTTAGAGCGGGTCCGGCATTCTCGGTAGGCGTGAGAGGTGGAAAATATATGCCTGGCCGGCTTCTAAAAGCTGGTAACAATTGAGCAGCTCGGTAGAAGCCTCTTAAATGTAGAAAGTGTTATGCTGAAACCTAATGCCTAAGTATCATAATTTAGAGAATTGTATTAGTTAAAGATGAAGTGGGGTTTTATAGCATTTTAGCTAAGTACGTTTTATCCCTTGCAAGCGTAGCAGCCTACTTAGTTACAGCAGAGTCGGCAACTATAGAGTAGACATTTAATAGGGCTACGGATGACACCACTTTAATATCTAACAGATTTTATCTTCTTAAGAAGATTAAAGATAAACAAATATGCTAGGACCATCCGAAATGGCTTAGCATTTCTCGCCACTTATGGATACTTAGCTAGAAGCTGAAAGCCCGTACAATTAATTATAGACCCGGATAGCAGCTTATGATAACGAATCCACGATGTGTTAGCATTTTTAGGGGTTTAAGTATAAGAGCGATCATATAAACTTATTAATGTCTTGATAACCAACGGCTTATACTCCGATAGTAGTTAAACAACCTTTCCGGGAACCTTGGCCGAGTGATCAAATCTTCTTAAAGCCAGTTTTGTTTCAAAGAGGGTCCTGTTTATAGAATGCTACTTCCTCCTTAGTGAAGATACCACCCTGCTATCATATAAGCTTCAACCTAAGCACGTCCCGAATTTGGTCATGGAGGAGCACCCACCTGAAGCCTCAGGGAGTTCTTGCTGATCTTAGTCAATTTATCATAATAGTCTTTATCAACTACCGTAAGGTAACGCTTCGCCATCTCATGTGCACCGACGAGCCGAAAAGTTTTATCATTGAAGCCTAACTCTCTTAAGTATATCTCTCCAAATACAGCATGGCCTCTCCGCCCAACCTGTGATCCATTCGGTGCAATCATCACCGGCATATATTCGTACACTGGGATGAATTGTCTAATGTCGTGCAGGAGTGCAGCCACAATCGTATTGTCATAAGCTCCTGCTTCACGAGCCAGATGTGCCACTTGTAGAGCATACCCAAGCTGGGTGAGACGTCCTGCGCCATAGCTTCGGTTCCCCTGGGCCGTGAGGTATTTGAATAATTCCTCGGTTGGCGCTTGTGCGCGGGTTTCGATTGAGGGCATCGTATCGCTTGACATGATGGCAGATAATCTTTGATACGAGATTCTGAGGAATCAGACGATAGAGACCTTGCGGCTCTGTTTAAATCTTAAACCCAAAGCTCTGGGGGAGGGTGAAGTACTTATAACTAACTATAGTCTATAACGCGGGCCTCGGTGTTCATATTATAACTACTTACTCCCTGCGAACTTTTACGTCAAATATAGCTTGTAAGTTGGAGGGAAAGTATAGCAAGGGGCTCGGTTGAGAATATATTCGACCTCTCTTAATGAAGTGTCCAGGACTTTGATAATTTGATAACACTAGTATTATATAGTTGTTAAAGTATAACCTCTGACGTATATTTAACTTGATATTATCCCCTTTTCGTATCAATCTGGATATCTCAAATAAGGAGAAGCATATCTGCGTTGTCCAGGTATGTAGAGGGTTCATTAAAGTAGTCTACTATGTATATATACTAAAGAGCTCGCTAAAGTAAAGGGGTTGTAGACCGTCTCTCTCAGAACTGATCTGTTGCAAAAGCTCTAGCGTACGGATACGCCGAAGTGGCGATGACGAAGCCTGTGGCGACAGGCTGCATAGCCCTGTGGTAATAGGCTACGAAGCCTGGAAGTGGCGATGCATAGCCCCTGTGGCAAAGCTGAAAGCTTGAAGTGACGATTGCCACAGCGGCTACTTACAGCCTATTACAGGCTTGAAAGCCCTATATATATAGCATACTTCCCACTGTAGAACAGCAGTCAATTCAAGTTATTACCCCGAAAAACAACATGATCCTCGTTTATTATACCTTCTTCGATCCGCTTTATAATACCTCATTAAATTACAGGCAACAAATTCATGAAACCACTCGTGACTCTAGGATGTGCTCTAAGTTTTCGAATTGAATGGTCAGATCGGAATATTTTCTACGATTAAACAAGATAGGGTACGGTTAGCATCATTGATCAAACATCGAGGTTTGACTATCTTACTTGTTAAAAGCGCTTTCAAAATCTGATTCAGATCGCAGCTTTATTGTACTACTTAGTGGAATACGTTCAGATACGATATGAGTTGATAGTCAAATACGTGTGTGTGCTAGCTCTTCGAATTCCTGGTAGAGTACTCTGTTAAGAACTTCTTCGTGTCTCTGATATCTTTGTCGGTCTCTACAGTATGTCACTGCTCCTGCCGATGTCGGATAGCACGCCATACCTGTCCAGCTCTGCATACATAGCGATCCCAAATTAATTTCCGGCGACCCGTTGAACTTATAGTATTGTTATCAGATTACAAACTGCACCTTTCGATTCTAGTGGCTAAAATACCACGTTACTGATATATAAAGACTGTGTACTTCGCGGTTTAGTCTCTCAATAAGACAAAAGGTGTTGGGATAAGGGCTGTATCCCAACCTCTCCGTGGAGAAAACAAGGGGTCCTAATAAGGCACCACAACTCGCTTGTCTATTAGGACTCTTTCTTCCTCCACGGAGAGCCCGACCTTTCTAGTCATGTGATTTAGCGTAGCTTAGTCAGCGAAGAGGCCATCACCTCTTCGCGTCCCACACTTCCACTTTTAGACATCAATCAAGAACAACCAACCAACCAAAGGGACCACCTTTTACTAGCTAGTACGAAGTGTTATACCGCGGTATCCTGTGATACCAACAAAAGGAGTTATATCCAAGATTTAATCTATTTAATAAGTTATATTGCCTTTCACAAAACCTCATGTCAAGAGGAAAAGTGCAAATATCATGATAATACCCTGTACATACTATTCGGTGCTACTTTGTACTATAGCTAGTTGGCTGCCTAAAAGGGGTTCGCGTACCCCATCCTTCGCGCGGCGCCATAGCCTCGGGACTTTTTAAGGCCCTTGCTGATGCTTGGTATAGGCCGCCGGTGAGTTGAAGACTTTTTCGTAGTATTATTTAATATACCAAGTGCATTTCAAAGTATGTCAATTTGAAGGAACCTGAAATTGTTATTAGTAAATGGTAAATAAAGCAAGCTGACAGGTTATATCGAGACCTAAAGTGCCGGGCCCGTCGACACGCCCTACCCGACAAAGTCGTTGTATTTGCCAGATTAGGAGGAAGCACTAACGTCTACGGTCTCCGCATTTTGGATCTGCATCTACTAGGACCTAAATTACGATCTCTAGCGCTGCATCCTTAGCGCAAACCCATAATTATTGTCGATCGCCTTCCAGGGCAGGGGCACTCGGGTTATTGTACGGCGTACTGTACGAGTACGACGACGACGCCAATTTCTTCCATGAATCCGTCTTCATCCTTCATAACCTTCATCAACAGATCTGAAAAATCTGCCGACAGACCTATCACTGCATCTTAGGAATCGCTTTAGACTGTGAGGGCTATCAGCCTACAAGGTGGTCATGACTTCTAATGTGATTGGGCATCGAGAGATCCCAAGTTCGATTGATTTCTGCTGACGATCACTGCTATAAAAAGGATAGCTTTATACGTTATAATCCGAAGCTCCACACGCCACAGTTTACGGATAAAATTTAGGGATGTGGACCTTGAATTGGTACCTTTGTCCACATTCATCTCCGCCCATGCTGCCGCTGCACCACGACCTGGTGGACCCATGCTTCTGGATTTCTTGATAGTCAGGAACGGTAGGATTTTCATAGATATAGCTCCTTATGCAGTTTTCTTGAAATTCCTTCCGCTATCTCAGCCGACCATCTTTTTTCTCTGTCATTGAAAATGAGATTCTTAGTTCTGGCTCTTGCCAGTGCTTTCTTCCAATCATCTGCCGTTGTGGCCAATGGTCCAAACGGTCCAAACGGTCCCCCTTCCTGTCGTTGCATGCCAGGTGACAGCTGTTGGCCAGCACCTTGGGAATGGGAAGCATTCAACTTTGCCGTTGGTGGTCGTTTGGTTGCGTCTCAACCACTGGGTGCGCCTTGTCATGACCCTACCTATAATGCTTCTGAGTGTGCAAAACTCCAAACTGAATGGACTGATCCTACAATGCAGTAAGTAGCTCTGCATTTTCACTCCAAGAAAGCAAAGTTTTTGACGCCGTGGTTGCAGTATGGCCTCGTCTTCCTCTGTAATGGCTCCCTTCTTTGCTAATCAGAGCTGCGATCCCTTTACTGCAACATCAACACCTTGCACCCTTGGAAACTATGTTGACTATGCCGTGAACGCCACATGTGCTGCCGATGTTGCAGCTGCTGTGGAATTCGCTCAACTGGCAAACATTCGCTTGGTGATTCGAAACACTGGTCATGAGTACGTCTGAAAGCACCTTTCTTGGCGAGACGAACCATACTTATAGTATAAATTAGCTACCTCGGAAAATCCACTGGCGCAGGAGCATTATCTGTATGGACTCACTATCTCAAAAACATAGAGTTCTTAAACTGGTCAGACGAAACCTATACAGGTAAAGCAATTAAGATGGGTGCAGGTGTCCAAGGCTTCGAGGTAATGGATGCAGCCAAAGCTCAAGGCCTGGTTACAGTTGGAGGAGAATGCCCAACGGTCGGCGTCGTGGGAGGATATACTCAGGGTGGTGGCCATTCAGCCCTCAGTACATCCTTTGGACTCGCCGCGGACCAGGCCCTGGAATGGGAAGTAGTCACTGCATCGGGAGAAATTGTTACTGCATCCAGAACCGAGAACACTGATCTCTACTGGGCCTTGAGTGGTGGCGGCGGTGGTACTTACGGTGTTGTGATCTCTTTAATTGCCAAGGCATACCCGGATGCCACAATCGGCGGTGCATCTCTGATCTTCTACTCTGCAAATACGACCGCCGACAACTTCTACGCAGCTGTAGAGGTATTCCATTCTCTATTGCCAGGCATGGTTGATGCAGGCGCGATGGTAGTCTATTACTTCACGGACGCCTTCTTCCAGATTGCCCCATTAACGGCCTACGGCAAATCCAAAACAGAGACCGAAGCAATCATGAGCGACTTGATCGCCGCCTTCAATAAGCTCGAATTTCCATATACCGTCACATACTCCGAGTCTGCTACTTATACTGATCACTACAACACCTATTTCGGCCCACTCCCCTATGGAAATATCAAGGTGGGAATCGCTCAGTACGGAGGAAGGCTGATTCCCCGCTCCGCGGTTTTTGACAACAACAAAGCCCTAGGAGCTACGCTACGTAACATCACCGAGCATGGCGTTACCTTCATCGGCGTGGGTACAAATGTTTCATCACCGGCAATCACTTCCAAAGTTTCGAATGCGGTTCTCCCGGCGTGGCGAGATGCACTCGTACATGCCACTCTCACCACACCATGGAACTTCACAGCTCCGTGGTCAGAAATGATCGCATTGCAAGACGAGATGACCTACGAGTTTGAACCTCAAATAACAGCCGTCACTCCTGGAGGTGGCGCGTACATGAACGAGGCGGACTTTAGACAACTGAATTGGCAGGAATCCTTTTTCGGGGAGAATTACGACAAGTTAGTATCTATTAAGAACAAGTGGGATCCAAACCACTTATTCTACGCGGTTACTGCTGTTGGAAGTACAGAATGGACGGTAGCAGCAGATGGGAGGATGTGCAGAACTTAATAACTAGTATTTAATGTTTAACAACAGCTTTTGTAAGTATAAAGAATTCAAAGCCGCTGGCTCACTGTACCATCAGCGAGTTCACTTGAAGAAATATGTCAATAAGGAAACGTAAGACAATACATCAAGCGACTTTCATTCAACAGAAGGAGTCATCTGTGATTACTTCAATTGTATGCAATCCGTGGTCTACAACATGACTTTTAAAATTGCATTTATTTCATTATTTACTTTTCCTAACTGATTCTATATCAATACACTCTACTCTCCATGCTTTTCAACAGCCACTTCCGTCGTTTTCAGAATGGTTGAATCCCGAGTGAACTCGTCGCTAGTGCCCTGTGTCGTTCCACCAGTGATAGTATTGCTGTAACTTTGACTGCCATCATTACCCCTTCCCAGCTCTAACAGACCGTCCTTATGAGGCCTCATGCTCTGCAGAATATAACTCGATGCTCGACCTGGCATTGGCGTTCGCGAATTACCCTTGGAGCTCTTGTCACGGAAGGAACGGAAGAGGGGCGCAAGAGGCGGAATACTGGCGGCCATTATGCCCAGATTATTTTCCACCATAGACCACATAATGAGTTTGGAGCTGTCGATATAGTTGGCGAGGGATTTGATTGATTGGATTCGGATGATTTGAATTGCGGTGACGAAGGTTCCGAGGGAGAAAATGCCGAGAATGGCCACTTTCTTGCGATTGGGAAGGCGCGAATTGAGGAGCATCGGGAAGGGTGTCAGCATGCTAAAGGTTGATTAGTCTCCGCCTCTTAATGATTCTGCGAGCTTGGGGAAGGATAATTACATCAGGACATCAAATACAATCGTAATAGAGGCCATGCTAGTATAAAATGGAACTGCTGGGAGACAATGTCCTGTGGTAATTGATGGGTCCCATTGCTTCGCGGCCTAGGAACGCGTTAAAAAATCCCATAGATAAAAATAGAGGGGATAAGTAACTTACAGGAGCACACAAGTTGAGCTGTACTATTAGAAAGCAGAGGTTGAAAATGGTGCAGGCAACCATAAGTCCAATAATAGCTATCTTATATTTCTTCTCAGCCGCAATGCGCAGGAATGAAAAGAGCAGAGAAAGCTTGAACCCCCAGATGCTGCTAATGTAGCTGTAGAATTCCGAGCGTTAGATTTGACTATAAAGAGAGGAAAATTTAGTTTGTGCCCAGGGTTGCTTACAATGGAGCCCCTGCATATTGAAGCTTGGAGATTGTTAGTATTGAAGCTGTACTTGAAGAGCATATCAGGATCTTACCACTCCGAAGTTGAAGATGTTCTTGTCCGGCATATCTGCGAGATGTTGAAGTCCAAGTCCCCATCTCGTTTCTGTTACCAGTGTCAGCCTCTATTGCGCCCCGAAATCTATTCACATTTGACTTACGCAGTAGAGATACAATCAGAAACCCAAGTGAGCAAGGCTACACCAAGATTAGATGACTTGCCGACTTGCTCTTCGTCAAAACTATAACCATACCCATGTGGCCACAATTACCCAGTCATCTGTAACATATTGATTAGTTTTGCTCTCTGCACACTCCATAACAAGTAAACGCACCGACTCCTACAGCCTTAATCATAAATCCCCGAACATACATGCGAAGACATATTATGATGAAAGAGGCTGTCGTAAATGTAATTCCTACCGCAGCAATCGTTGGAGCGTCGGTTTCGGCATGAGGATTGAGGGTATTGTAAGTCCACCCCATTACTAGGAGGATGAATCCACCAACAGTACAGATTAAAACCGGAAGTAGTAGCACAAAAGTTGGAATCAAAGTCACATATAAAACGTTTGAAGAATGAGCAGCATGCCACCATCTTATGTCCCCACTTACATAATCCCTGAAGAGATTGATCGGCTGCTGGATGTTCTATCGGTCCGGGGTAATATCGTGGTTCCCAGGATTGCCACATGTTATAACTGCATGCAAAAATTGTGACTGGATATGTCCTTTGTCCTTTTGCTTGAAACTTACCTATTCGGTGCGAGAAAGCATGAAGATCAACTACGTTGTGTACAATGGGGGGCTAAGGAAGCACTAGACCTACACAGGGCGAAGAAACAGGGGAGTGACTAGCTGGCAAATGTCGCTCTTCCCGAAATTTACGACCCCTCCGTGGCATTCAGTACAATCAGCTGGAGAGACGCGGGGAATTGTAGGCATGAACCAGTAGAAGAATCCCAGGTCCACTAGTTATAAGAGCCGATTATACGCTACGGGAAAATGATCGTCGTGCGCGCGCCCCGTATGGAGTAGCGTCACTTTACCATGGAGGATTACAGACTCAGGGTCAGGGATTCTATTTAGCCCTCTACTCCGTTTGGCGCCGCATGCTCCGCAAGCATTCTTGACGCGTGTGGTTTTAGCTTCGGGACGACTGGCCTTTCCAAATTTTTCTTTTGTCGCGCGAATCACGCACGCAACGCAAGTCATCTATACACAAGACGTAATTTAATCTCTTTCTCACGTGGCTATTCTATTATTCAACAGAATGCTTTATGCAGGCTGAATCCCAGGACCGTGCTACGACTAGTTTCCTCCCACAGCTCCTGCCCCCCCTCCTTCTTTTGAAAGATGTTCACTCCGTATAATCCGGTCCGCCAGATCTACCGAATGTTACTGTGTCATTGTTCCTGAAGCCTTCCTGGTGGGATTTCACGAGTACCTATAAATAGAGTACCAATTTTCCGTGAGCCTGCAACGGCATCTACCGGTACTTCGAAGTAACTCCGAAGTCGCATAAGATCCTACATTTTTGGGGAGCGGAAGAGATCGTCAAGAGGGGTGGTAATGATAAGCATACTAACATAGACTATCGGAAGTTATTATCAGATGGATAACCTTATTATTCACCGCTTGTTTTTACATCCATTCTCAGCAGTACGCCGTGGTAATTAAAGACTCGGAAATAGCCTTACCAACTAGGTAATTATCTTTCATTCTGGGTCTACTAAAGTACCGGTATAGGACCCGAGAAAGATCAGAGGCAAAACAGATAATGTCGTCGGGTTTTTCTTTCTTCATCTCAAAGTTTAGTATTTACTTAATTCAGGGGAATTTTAGATTTAAGGGTATACCTTGAATGCCTTGATGCGACTAAACGAACACGCCTGACAAAAATACTTCTAGAAAGCCAGGTAAGGGTCGATTCCTGTTGATGCAGGCATTTTCCCAGGAGAATTGATTTTACTCGAAGATCTAAAGAAATCTCCGTAAATCGCCGCAGAATCCCAGCCCCTGGCTACACGTGCTGACTTAGATGTATCTGTTTCACCCCTCGATTGCCGAGTCAGCAAGCAAATTCTCTCACGGAGAGCTAAACCAGCCATATCTCGTAATCGGAAGCGCTGTAAGCTGTGCTAAGCATATCTAACGTCCCGCTACGGGGCTCCCGCATATAGTCTCCCCCAAGCAAGAAGAGATCGTCTACTATCATCCCACAACCTCATCACGGTACCGTAGCTTAAAGAATTCCGAGCTGCTTAATCGCCGATAAAGATCCGATAGCATATATTAGCGAAAAGCAAATACTACTCAGACGTTACATTCCTTGTAGAAAAAGACTACATGTAGGGGACAGCTTAAGAGCTATCTTAATAAGTGTGCTGTCTGCGAGCGTTGAAGTATCTGGTGCCAGACTACAGTAGTGAGAACCTTCGTCGAGGCTATTGAATGTGCCTAAAGAGTTGAGGGATTAAATCCTTAGCTGTCAACTAATCATTGATCAACTAGTCTCCACCTTTTTGGTTCTGATGATCTCTCTATCGTTAGAATTACATCTACAGCCCACCTACGGCACTGATTCGTTGAGACAGAACAATCCACACTTATCTGAATATTTAACCGCGATTAAGAATCGGAGTTTTAAGGTGCTTGACTACATTGCTCCAAGGGGCTTTGGCATCACGTGCAAGACGGAGCTTTGCAAGACAGAGCTTTGCAAGACCCCCTATGCCATCTATTGATATTTCTTCAGCACTAACTCTTTATATACTAAGCCTGGTAATCTTAATGGTGAGTTTATTTATCTTGCACAAGTTCCTTAAACAAGTTGGAAAAAATATGCAAGCAAGTGATAATGACAGAGAAAACGGCGGTATAGACGGCAGAAGCAGAACGAGCAATTCCATACCAGTTGAAATGAAAGCTACCGCCGCGTGAGAGCAGCCAAAAGTAGAAGGTGAGGGATAAGAGACCGACTCGCGTCTCAAATAGAAACCACAGAACATATCGAGGTGCGGCTTCTTAGGTTTAGGCCCAACATCTGAAGCCGAAAGACCTAATTTGTGTGCTTCTAGGATGCACTGTGCCCGTTGTTGTTCGACAGAAAACTCGCACTCGACATATTTTCGTTGGCGAATGCTACGTTGATGGACTCATGGAGGGTGAAGCAGTTCATACCCTTGAATTGAGTGACAAAATGGCGTTCTATCTTTACTGGAAATTTCATTGTATTATAGAAGCTATTCTACAGAGGTTAAGTAGTTAGGAAACCATGTATCCTAAATGTCTACATAACCATAGACACAAGGACTAATCCTTGAGGAGGTGAGATTTGAATCCGATATTTTCAAGAGAAGACAGCGGTAGAAGGCCACCCAGCTGGCTTTGGAACAATGGAAGGGAGCATAAATGAAGTTCTCTGATCGATTCACCTCTATATCGGAATTTGGCTAGTCGCATATTTCTTCATCCATTTGGAAGCTTTGGGCGATGGAGGTAGAGCTTGAGGGTTTATTCATGTCCTTGAGAATAAAAAGCGTCGGTTCGATCCGGCAGAATATATATACATATATAAGGGCTGCACTTAATTTGAAATAACTTGATTTATTCCCATCTTAAGAATGCCAAACACCCCTAACTTATCACCTCAGCACAGTACAGAACACAAAATTTTCAACTAATGCACCTTCTGGAGTTAAGCCAGCATATAACGGTCACAAGATATTGCTCGGGTAAGCCCGCAGTTCTAGTATTTGGAATACAAACCGAATTCTGCTCTCATGTCGCCGATCCCGGGTACCCGTGTAGAAATATCTGGCGGCCCGAGTACTACGCCGGGAGGATAATCTATCCGTGGAAATCTTGTCCGATGGCTCCATAGTGTTTTGCGGTATGTTATTTGCAGGAGGTGTGGAAGTGGATATCCGGCTATATCCGAGGGCTCAGGGGTAAGTCGGGGGGCGGTTTGTGTGTGTCAGCAGGATGCTTGTTTGCTGACTTACTGTTCTCGAGATATAATTCAAGAATATGGGAAGAGCAATGACGTTGTTGACAGGTGGTTGAAAGTTCGGTTGTTTGGGGTGTTTGATGAGTATTGTTTTGGTGAGAATGACAAATTCAGGGCAATAACTATCCGATTCAAGTGCCGAGAATAAGCCAATGTACTCTGGTGGGATAGATAATGTACTGGATGAAAAATATATATTAGACATGTTTTCCAGCTTTATTGGATCCAACAGCGAAACAAACACCATAGAACAAAGTCGCAGATTTCCTGTTTCCCAATATACTGCGTGCTGAACCAAATAAGTTAATTACACCCCATACACGCAATGGCAACCCTCACGTGGGAAGAACTCTTTGAGCGTAACCAGTACGATGACTTCCTCTCACCTATTCATAGACCTAGCAAAACTTACCCAAAACACAAGAAATACTCCGAAACAAAGCATAAACCCCAACCATATCTCTCCGAAGGTGCCTCGCCACCATCCTGCTTCATCGGTACAGTTTCTCGAATTCCTCCCATCACACTTCGTTGATACTGACAAGCCGCACAGTCTCATGTCTTGACTTCCGCGTCTCCGTTGAAGCACTTCTTGATATCAAGCCTGAAGGTGAGTAGTTTGAAAACTTCCGTTTGGCGGCGTGTTTAAGATCTGATGTCAATTATAGAGGCATTCATCATTCGGAATGCGGGTGGCAGGCTTAGAAGTAGTATTGAAGACCTCATATTCCTCGATACAATGACACAAGAACAAGTACTGCGACATGTAATCGTTATTCACCATACCGGTACCTCTCCTTCTCCCCCTCTCCCCCTCTCCCCCTCCGTCTCCCACTTCGTTCTAACAAAGCGCCCCACCTAGATTGCGGCTACACGCACGCCACCGACGAATTCCTCAAGACTGCCCTAAAAGCCAAAGACCCAGGACTAGAAAAGGAGATCGAGGACCTGTATTTCGGAACGTATGGTTCTGGCGACTGGCAAAGGCTGGAGGAGAGCGTGAGGGAGGATTTGAGGTTCTTGAGGAAGCAGCCTTTGATTAGGCAGGAGGCGAAAGATTGTGCTAAAGGATATGTTTATGATATCAAGACGGGGAAGCTGCATGCGGTGGTTGATGAAGATTGAAATGCATGGCATGGTGTTTTTGAAATGAGGAGAGGACAGGGGAATGTAGGGATTGAATGTACAAGTAATAATAAATCTCAGCTTAATTAATTGGGCCGCGGGTATTATAACTCAGAGGTTGCTCGATCATTAAACCCGATTTTGACCATCTGAGTAACATGTTTGTAGCATGGCTACTGCAAACGGAGGAAGGGAAAGCCGCAGACGTTGAAACGGGGTGAAAGAGGGCGGATCTCAACTAGAGACTGTGCTCATTTACGATTTATTTAATCCGTAGAATTATATTTTATATTTTCCCTAGAAATCAAAAGCAGTTGAAGAAAGGAGAGGTGTTGGGGTCGTAGAAAGTAAACAAGAATTTGGCGCTAGTGTCGTGTCAAGCGAGGTACAGTACTCCATCAACACAACAAACTCTCCAAACTATCCAAACGTCTTCATGACAGCAAGCAGGCAAACCTCTCGCCATCAACAAATTTAATGACAGACCTCTCTCACGTCAATCCGAAAATCTGTTATCATTCCCTCTGCAATTGACCCCAGATCCAACTTTCAACCTCATTTCCGCTACCAACTCCTCGTCTTCTTGTTTTCACTAGGGCCAAAGTAGCTGGTCGCAAGTCTATCGCTGCAACGGCAACAACAGCTGCGAGCGCACGCAAGGCCCGCAACTCTAGCGCACCCAAGAGGTTTGTTGCCGGTGAAAAGAACCCTCCATCCGCTCCCATCGCCAAAGCCAAAGGTAGGGGACGTCCAAAGGCAACATCCACTGTCGCTGTCGCTCCTGGAGTAAGTACACTACTCTCTATACAAAGCAAGAGTGAATGCTGATAAAATATGTAGAAGGGTCGTGGACGTGTTGCTGCTGCCAAGATTGTCAAGCCAAAGGGAAAGGGCAAGTCAGCTGTAAGTTCACCTTGGATTGATATCGCATCGCTGCCGGCGCTAACTGACAGGCAATTCAGACGCCGGCAAAGCGAGGTCGTCCTGCCAAGGGTTCCAGCCCGGTATGTATGATGATAGTTTGATCTCGCTGCATTCTCCCAGGGCCTTCACTTCGCATCCATTTTCCCATATTCCCATGGCCCGCCAGGCCCTTGGGAGGCCGGCCGCGTATTCGATCCACCAACACCCCAGAATTGATGCATCTCATGCTAACGATGAAAGGCCGCTCGCTCTAAAGGACCACAGCCGGCTGAAGTCTATAATGACGAGCTTGACAACACCGGTCTAGAGTACCAGGTCGAAAAGATCAAAGATTCCCGTATCATTAAGAATAAGATCCAATATCTTGTCAAATGGGTCGGATACCCGGAGTCCCAAAACACCTGGGAGCCAGAGGCTAATGTCCGTAACGCACAAGACGCTATCACGGCATTCGACGTCGAATTCCCCGAGAAGGAGTACCCGGACCCTCTTGCTGACCACCCTCTTGGTAACCAGCCAACCGCCGCAGAGAGAAAGAAGGCTTTAACTCCTGCTCCGGAGTCTGAGTCATCTAGATCTCCTGACCCAGAGCAGGCTGCACTAGTTGCTACTATGACGACTTGAGCGGCATTTCCATTCTTACAAGAGACGAAGACATGCACTGTTGTATCTATTGTACGCTTGTCTCTCCGATCTTGCCTCAATGGAACTGGGTTTCTGGACCTGGTATGTCTATATCCCAGCGTTAGTACTAGAAAGCTGACACAAATAAGCAGGTTACCTCTCTTGCCATTGCATTGCTTTAGTTTCCGTTATGAACATTCTTTGCTCTGGTCAAATATAATGCTTTCCTTCCTGGAATGGTTCTGGGATGTAGCAGCTTGGTAGGTTTACTAGCCGCTAAGAAAATACAAAAACTAACAACCTTACAGGCACATCCCTTATGATTCTGAGTGAATGATGATGGGCTCTTCTTGCACGGTGACTTGGGGTTTACAACAGTACACACTTGCATATGCTGTAGAAAGGTGGTGGATATTTGCTGGGAAGGGGGGCTCATTGTTTTGTCTTCTGGTTTGAAACTTGCCGGGAATGACACAAATACATAGGAGGCTTCTTATAATTACAAACGGAGTTATTCCACACAACTTCATTAAGGTCTTCCAGGAGTGCCGTGAAAAGCGGTCGTTCAATTGGTGCAGCTTCAACACCGGACACGTTGGCTTGGAATCTTCATTGCGACTTCACTGTAGACACTAGCTCTCGAGATACGTTAGTACAGGTAGGCAGGTATCTAAAGATCAATGATGCTAATGAACGAGGCAATCCGTAAATTTGATTAGAGGGAAATGCAGACGGATTTTTAAGAGAGTACGAGTAAAAGCTGTAAAGTGATCTCATTGTCCTCCCCGAACAGTTTTTCCGTTCCGAGCTGACTTTCTACAAGATCAACAACACCATCTCCTATTCGCGAACACCATCAATCCACGCGCATCCCCCCAAACCACCACTATGGATGCCCTCCGTAACGCCTTGCAACCCATAACCCACGCCCTCCCGGCGCCCATCCACGAGCTCGGCACCTCAATAATCGGCGACGTCTGCTACAAAACCCTCATTCTCGATATCAACTTAGAATCAACCGAATGCCTCAAACTCGCCATCTCTAAAGGTCTCGGTCTCGGCATAATCGCCGCTTCGTCCATCGTCAAAATCCCGCAGATCCTCAAACTCCTCTCCTCCAAATCCAGCTCCGGAATCTCCTTCCTCTCCTACTTCCTCGAGACCTCTGCCTACCTCATCTCCCTCGCCTACAACTACCGCCAAGGCTTCCCCTTTAGCACATATGGCGAGACGGCGCTGATCGCGGTGCAGAATGTCGTTATTGCGGTCCTGGTCCTGAATTATAGTGGCAAGAGTGCTGGGGCTGCGGTGTTTGTTGCGGGGCTGGCGGCGAGTGGTGCTGCGCTTTTTGCGCCGAATATCTTGGATATGCAGACGCTTAGTTACTTCCAGGCGGGTGCGGGCGTGTTGGGAGTTGCGAGTAAGCTGCCACAAATCGCGGCGGTTTGGCAGGAGGGTGGGACAGGGCAGTTGAGTGCTTTCGCTGTAAGTGTTTCCATTTCTATTATCATCCCCATTTTACCCCTATTATTTATCCTCGAGATATTCTAACGACTGCATGCCCAAACAGGTCTTCAACTACCTCATTGGTTCCCTGTCTCGAATCTTCACCACGCTCCAAGAAGTCGACGACAAGCTCATCCTCTACGGCTTCGTTGCGGGCTTTGCCCTGAATGCGATATTGGCGGCGCAGATGGTTTATTACTGGAATGCACCCGCGAAGAAATCTGAGAAGGCAAAGGGGAAGATGCCTGTTAAGGCTGGAGCTGGAGCTGGATCTAGCACTGCTACGCCTAAGGCTAAGAGTCCTACGACGCGGAGACGGGGTTGAGTTTGGGTTGTATACAAGTGCGATCTTTACTATTGCTGACCTGAATCCTGCGCTTTGTAGTCGAAGTCTTTTTGTACTTAATCTAATGTTTATTTCTTGGGTTTTTATACCGAAAATGTCTGTTATATTTCTTGTCCAGGAGATGGCAAGCGCCCGCTCATGTTCTAATGCCTTGCGTTTGTTCAATTAGTTGGCTCATGTCTCAGCTGATGATTGGCTGACTACCTTACTGGGCACCCCGTTTGAGGTCCAGAGCTCACTTTGTCATAGGTTACAACTGCAAATCCTGCAGCCTAACTAGTAATTTCACTACCTACGTCTACAGAAATCCTGTGCAGGACAAGCCTACTATCAACCAACTTAGGGTAATTACCGCGCTCACTAGACAGACAGACAGCTAGGACTAAGCAAGCACGAATATAAAATTTGGAAAATCCGAATGTCGCAGGCCTACACCGAATAACTCTATAGGTTACGTGAATTGATGAGTCGAAGTTTTACCAACCTGAGGGAGCTCAAAACACTGCGTTAACTTACCTCCCTGACTTGACTCACTCACATACCCAAGCCACCTTTAAAATCTGTACGCTGCGCCCAGCGAAATGACTTTTATTCCGCTCCCAGATTCTTTGGCTACGCAGATTTTTCATCCAGTTCCCACCCCAAAGTTATCGTATGGTTTCCCGCTTTTACAGCGCCCTGATCTCCCCTTTTTAACACCGCAGAACCGTACTCTCAGGTGCGATAGTAAGACTGCTTATCACCAAAGTCAATACTGGCCTGGTAGGCGCGTTCGCTGCTAGTAAAGCGACCATCTCTAATGATATACAATAGCCAATGCTTATGCCAAGTTGTTACATAGGCACCCTGCATCGAAATCCTATCTCACCACGAATACGGTAATAATGGCGAATTCTTCGAAAGCACCCAAATCTTCCGTCATCTACTATGACATTCCAAGTGTCGAAGACATTTTCCTTTACACAGAAGGTGGACTTCATCCTATCCGGATAGGAGATTCCCTTCAAGGAGACCAGTTCAAAGTCCTCAATAAGCTCGGTTACGGGGCTTATTCAACTGTTTGGTTGGCGATGGATAGCGTGCAGAAACGTCTCGTTGCTCTCAAAGTATTACGAGGGGACGTTAGTCTTGTAGGCACAGAGGCAAAGCTTGCAGGAAAATTAGCCGTACATCAAGACCGCCATCTTCTTGCATTACCAGAGCAATCCTTCAAAATTGAGGGGCCAAATGGCAAACACGACGTTGTGGTTCTACCTGTTGCAGGCCCGACTCTCTTCCAATATATGAAAGAGCTAGAGGGGCATCGTCTGCCGGGGAATATCAGAAAAAAAGCAATTCGAGAGATTGTTAAAGGCCTTGCATGTCTACATGAGGCTAGTGTTGGTCACGGAGGTTGGTGCCGTAAATAATATTGAATTGTGTTCGTTAGCATTAACATGCTTAGATCTTCACCCATCGAATATACTTCTTCAATTACCAGACAGCTATCTCAAGAATCACAAGGACCTCCTGGCATGCTTTAATGGTCCTATCTCGGAGCCTATCATGCGCATGGACGGAAAGCCCATTACGGAACACGCACCAGAATCGGTTATTCTTCCTGCAAAGTTTTCTTTCCCTGGAAACTTTGATGGATCCATTATAATCGCGGGTTTTGGCAGCACTTTTAAATCACCAAATAACGGAGGCAATGCCAAATTCAGCGTTTACGCCCCGACTGCAGCCCCTGAAAGATTACTCGGCGAAAGTTTTGGTCTCCCATCTGATATCTGGTCACTCGCTTGTACAATTTTTCAACTTATATATGGTAAAGAACTCTTCCAAGATGAGTCGAACTCCCCGCAGATGGTTCTCTTCGAGATTATGGAGGTACTTGGCAAGCCGTCAGAAAATTGGTGGTTGCGTTGGGAGAAAGCTACTGCAGGTATGGCTATCACTCGACGAGATGCTGCAGATTGTAACGATGGATTAAAAAAACTTGACGAAATATTAGACAACCTAGATAACGAGACCATCGATAATGAGCCACTAAAAGACATGCTGAAACGAATGCTGACTTTGGAGCCTGAAAAGAGACTGTCCATCAAGGAAGTCCAAGAGCACGCATGGTTTCGCTCTCTATAACTTGATGCTGGACTGCGCGAAGGAAAAAGTTATAGCATTTTCACATTTATTAACGGAGCAGCAGGTGTGTACGAACATTAAATAGCATCCCTGTATAGTGCAGGCGGTTATGGTATCTATGACTAGGGGATGTGCAGTGTTTTGGATCCAAGTGATCGCGAGTTAAATGGTGCATAGCAAGGTTCCTAGAGAGCGATATTGGAATTTAAGATCAAAACTCAGATGGTGCGTTTCAGTTTCTACTCAATGCATTGAAGGCTTCTGGGTACTCAAGAGTGAAGTGGAAGAAATTGTGCGTTTTCAAGTTCCCGAAAACCCCCAAGTTGGTGACCAGAAGGTATTTATCACGTTGGTGGTCGTCTCTTTCTTGGAACAGAAAATGGCCTCTGAGGAGGGTACCTGGGAACTGGTTGTTGAAAAGGCTCGTGGTTGGTTGGAAAGCTTAGGTATAATGAACCTGGAGGAAATTGAGCGCGAGGCTGCTGAGTTTGTCAAAAAGCATTGATTTCATTGGATCAGGCGTTTTGGGGTGCTGCGATAATGCGTAAGATGATGTTATGATAATAGTCGATCCGTTTGGGAGGCAGCGACGGTTACTTCGCAAATCTGCATCTTGAATCGTAACTAAGTTGTACGTACCACATATGCCTGCAACGGACATCCAGGAATCAACGAAGCATAATGATGAAGTCGCCTGTGCTGAGAACCACTCGCAATTCTTGTTGTTCTCTTGTCAGATAATCGTAGTGGTGGTGATCGTCGTCGTTGGATGCTGCGCCGTCTTTTACCCCGCTGCCGTGACTGCGGGGGCTGACTTCAAGGCAGATAGACAAGCTTTGCGACTAGACTTCCCGAGATACGAGAATTAGTTTAGCAATCCAGATACTGTACGGAAGAGGATAACAAAAGTTGCCCAAGTTTAAAAGGGTACCCCTTTGAAAGTCAAAGACGGAAGGGATGATCCGCAAAGGTTACATACCATGATGCAAGGGGCAGGGGCGCCAGGTGGGTATAGCTCAGGGATACAGTACTCTCCGCCCCCCTTAATAAATGTTAATGATCCTTCGCCCTACAGTATAAACAGGGGATTTAAGCAAATGATATCACTACGTCTTAGGCCTAGTGGGAGTACCCTGCGCCGTGAATAGTGGGCCACTTGCTAGGGCATCTCGCCATTCAGTTCTGCTTCGTACAGTATGGGATTCTACGTTTTATGGAGATTTTACGTGATTTTAAGGGGGGAGAGTAAGGGAGGATTTCTACGCTGCTAGAACACCTCACTAGATATAGGATCTTCTCAACAAAAAAGCCTCACTGCGGCTGCCTATCCATCCACTGGTACGCTTACTGTATGTGCATGCAATGCGCCTTTTCGACCAATCACGAAGTATTAACTTCATTTAAAGAGGTACCCATGAATATCAACTCCCGATTATCGACATAGCGCCGGCAGTCCGGCTTCTTATCTGTTCATATAAGGCATCATGATGTTCAGATAGGATTCATAGCCGCAATAAATCTCTCAGCCTAACCGGGAAACATTGTCGCAAGCGCGTAGTTCTTCGATTCCAACTGGTGCAACATCTTTTTACGCAAGACCTAGATTCCGAACTTCGTATGACATTGCAAAGATTGGGAACTTGGCATGCAGCTCTCTCCAAACTAGGACCACTTTGGCAGGTCTCCCCAGATACGAAAGTCTTAATTCAAGACACCCCACGATATGATACGATCTCCGTCCGTTCGCAGGCAGCGAAGCTTCAATAAGCTTTTGGGCGGCAGTCGTGGCTACAATCCGAGAAAGGCGCCATCCTTGGCGATAGATTTCCCTGGCAACATTGTTGTCTATCATTGTGGCTTTGTCTGACCGCAATACGCATCGAAGTCACCGTTGTGAGCCTGAGATCACTGCAAATGATGCCACGATACGAATGACCCCACTCTCCAGCGCCGCCAAGAGGACGTACGGACCATAATGAGTTTCGACGGCGACATGTGCATGGTACCTGGGTAGATCATGTCGAATAGAGCAACATTAATGTTGATGATTGGCTCTTGACGGTGGACCCTAGAATACGAGCTCTTGCAGCTTAGACATGATCGATCGTACGAAATTTCGGCGACTGCGACGAACGAAGAAGGTAGTCATTTGTTCCTATGGGATAAATAGAATGGCATGACCAGCAGTCGGGTACTCTCCTTTGGCACTCCCTCCCCAGTCTTCTTCCTCTTTGCCAATATACTAAGATGTATTTCCTCAGATCTACCATCTTGGCTTTGGCTGTAGGCACTTCCTTTGCCAGTCCTACTCCCGGCCATGGTCATGTTCGACATGAAAAGCGCACAGGCGGTGATCAATTGATCAAGAGGTCAAGAGCAGACCCATCTATGCAATTGCCAGTGCGCATTGCCCTTGCTCAGAACAATCTGGATCACGGGGGCAACCGGCTGCTAGATATCTCAGACCCCCGCTCTGCCAATTTTGGAAAGCACCTGTCCTCTAAGGAGGTTGGGGACCTATTCCGTCCTTCCAGCGAGTCTATCAGTGCTGTCCGCCACTGGCTCCATGACTCTGGCATTGAGTTGGAAAGACACAATGTCACTGTCGGCAGAGGATGGCTGAAATTCTATGCCTCTGTAGGAGAGCTAGAAGAGTTGCTTTCCGCCAAATATCATGTGTACGGGCACTTGGACTCCGGGGAGGCCCATATTGGTTGTGATGAATATCACCTCCCGTCTGAAATTGTTCCCCACGTCGACTTTGTTACTCCAAGTGTATCTACGATTCGAATCGGCGAGAAAGACCTGAAGAAGAAAAAGCGTGGTGAAGTCAAGTCTCTCTCCCCAGCGTCCTTTCCGCCACATGTCACTCCAGCCGGCAGCAGCTTTGATACAAATTCTTTTGTCAGTGGCGCATCGGAAATACCCTGCTACACTGCGGTTACGACCGAGTGTCTTAGAAGTGAGTGTTTCACATCAAAGCATTCCAGGAATATTTTCTTTTTTGCACATTTTTACAATATCTGGGATGAAAACTGATTATCTGTAGCGCTTTATGGAATACCCCTAGGCAATTCTAGCATAGCTGGAAATGAGATTGGAATTTTTGAATCGGGCGATTACTACGACCAAGAAGACCTGGACAAGACTTTTGCGGCCATCGCTCCTTACGTCCCACAAGGCTCGCATCCCACACTCAAAGGTATTGATGGAGGTTACGCTCCAATGGAGGACTACGTTGGCGTGGAATCACTTCTTGACATGACGCTGATTCTCCCCTTGGTCTATCCGCAACAGTCTATCCTGTTCCAAGTCGACGATTTGCACCAGGTTGAATTTTCCGAAGGATTCGGGGATACTTTCCTTGATGCGCTCGATGCCTCATACTGCACGTTTGAAGGCGGAGATGATCCAACTCTGGACCCCAAGTATCCTGACACGGGTAAGAATGTGACGGGACAACCAGCAGGTTCATACAACCAGACTGAGATGTGTGGTACATATACCCCAACCAATGTCATTTCTGTCTCTTATGGGCTGGGCGAAAACACCTTTTCCAGATTCTATTGGGACCGACAATGTCAGGAGTACATGAAACTCGGCCTTCAAGGCGTCTCGGTTATCTACGCTTCTGGAGATTCTGGTGTGAGCAACCGTGGGCAATGCATCTCCCCGAACGGTACACACAACTATGATGATACAGGAGGTAGGCTATTCTCATACTAAATTGCTGTTCTCTTCAATGGATTCCGAGGAGCTATTTCAGGCTCCTGGGATAATCCTAAGCTCCACGACCCTCTGAAAACCAAACTATTTACCATGCTAATATACCGCTTAGCGTTCTCGCCGAGCTTTCCAGCCTCTTGTCCTTGGTTGACGTCCGTTGGCGCTACACAGGTCCGTATCTCCCCAGCATCTCTTGTATCAGCCCGTACCCAAGACTAACAGCATACCCCAGTTCAACACCGACGATAAAACCGAAAACGCTGTATACGTCTACGAAGAAGAATACTACTCTGGCGGCGGCTTCTCCAACTACTGGCCCGCGCCCAGCTACCAAGAACCGACGCTCGCCCACTACTTCGCCACGACCCCGCCCCCCTACAACAACACCATCTACGGCACGCCCTACTACAACAAATCCGGACGCGCCTATCCAGACGTCGCGGCCATCGGCCTCAACATCCTCGTCTACCAGAACGGCCAGCCGAGCTTCGTGAGCGGCACGAGTGCCTCGGCACCGATCTTCGCGTCGGTTATTAATCTGATCAACGAAGAGCGCCTCGCGGCTGGCAAGTCGGTCGTCGGGTTCATCAACCCCACGCTGTACCAGAACCCGGATGCGTTTACGGATATCACCAACGGTACGAATCCGGGGTGTGGCACGGACGGCTTTTCTGCTGTCAAGGGCTGGGATCCGGTTACGGGGCTTGGAACACCGATTTTTGAGAAGCTTTTGGATGTCTTTATGGCGTTGCCGTAGATGGGTAGTTGGGGAGAGGATGTTTACGCTTAGATAGCGTAGGGTTTCTAATTTAGAATTAATAGCACGCGAGGGTTATGGGGAGTGGCCTCGGGTTTAAATGGGGCTGTGGATTGCTTGGTCGTCACTAGTATGGCTGGACAAATCAATAATACCTTACATAGCATGTTGCAATGTATGCGAACACAAGAGCTGAAAGACCCGCCAAGTAAATGCAGTGGTGAGGTTTCTCGTGATTCATGGTATCTGATGCTGCCGTCCAACTCCTAAACCCAAATCCCATCCCAGATCCACCCTGAAACGGACCAAACATAACTCCCCAACGCCTTCAACATCCACTCTGTGGCATTTCTGCGCAATCTCTTCATAGACTCTTTCTCTTCTTCTTCGGCGATCGTGCTCCTTGCTCTTTGCTCGGCGATGCTTGCAACGAAAACGACAAGTTGAACCTCGTCCCAATGCCCATTGCCTCAAAGCAGACCCCCTCCCCCGTGACATTGAAGCCCATCTCCCCAAACCCCCCCGGCGGCCCAAGCGTCTCCTTCATCTCATCCAACGCGCTCTTGTCGACCGCGATATTCCAGCTCAGCGTCCGCGACCCCTCCAGCGGATCCCGACTCTTCTGCCGCTCCAAACTGATCGCCTGGCACGCCGCCTTCTCCGCCTCCGCGAACGCCGGCACCTTCCACAGTCCAAACCCAGCCACATGGCCCCGCCCCCAATCCACCGCCCGGATGAAGGCCACGACCTCGACGCTGCGCGCCCGTATCTGCTGCTGCACGGCCTCCGAGTCGGCGCGCAAGGCAAGGCACAGCGGGATAACGTGCTCCAGCGCAAAAGTCACGCCGCGGTGCAGGACAGACGCCCACAGCGTTCTGTAGAACAGGAAGCGGATGCCGTAGTAGGCGCCCATTCCGGCTCCCCAGTCGGCGCCGGGGAGGCCGAGGGCGGTGCGGAGGAGTGCGCGCGCGACGCTCGACAGCAACATGTAGAAGATCCACGATGCGGCTACCACGGCGCAGATCTCGAAGGTCGAGAGCGGCTTGAGCCGCGGGTTGTGGCGCGTGTAGTATTGTACTTTCAGCAGGCCGGGCTGGAGGAGCACCATCCACATGCCCTCTGCTGCCAGATTGATCCACCAGGAAGCCATGCATGCGCCTGCCAAGGTCTGTGTGTGCAAACGGCGCACCCTAGATTATGAACATATCGTATCGTTTCGTTTCCTCAATATCTATTACATAGACATAGACAGACACCAAAGGAAAAGAAAAAGAAAATAAGAATGAAGAAGAGGAAGAGGAAGAAGAAGTTGTAAATCCCTGCTAGGAAGAAGTAGTGGAAGTAAAAGCTACACCTACTCCGTACGTATGGAAGACGCGAATGCGACGGATATGTTGAATAAGAAAATACGAATCGACCAATCGGTACCCATTATATAATTCTGACCGGCCCGGCGCGGGGAGTTACAAACGTCCGTTCCGTTCCGGGACGCCCTACAGTACAGTATAGTACCTAACACGCACGTCGCACACATAGGCAAATTTCATACTATTAGTACTTCGAAGTATATATACAAGTAGAGCTAGGTAGTTGTGCGTGCATAATATAATGCTGCCTTCATACAGGTACGGGTACGGGATTGTCGATACGGGAAAGGCGCATGTATGTATATGGAGGGGAGGTACGAAGTAGGGACCGAGGCACTTAATGAGGCTTTTATGGTATAGGAAGGAAATGCTGTCTGTGATTGGAGAGGAGGGAGGGGAGGGATCGTGGTCCGTGGAAAGGGGAGGGGATGGCGGGGTATACAGTACGGAGTATTGCAACGGGGAAAACCCAGCCATGCATAAATAAACAAATAGCATCTGTGCCGGTCGGTCCCGAGACGGCATTACCGGAGGAAGGGCATCTTTACTCTGTAGGTATGTTTCAATACCGTACAGACTGTACACTCAAGCTTCCTGCGATTCGAGATGCAGAAATGTTGGGTTCGCTCAAAAGGAGAACATTTGCGCTTTCTGATTTGTTCTCGTCAAGGCATTGCTGGCATTGGCTTGAGTCTAACAAGAAAAGACGCCTAGTACCTACGCCGCATGCAGTAAGACGGCGAGTACTTGACAGACAATGACTCTTCGACAAGAGGGCGTACGGCGTATGGCGTACGAAAAGACGTCTAATAATATAGTGCAAACGCTCAGAGACCTTGCCAGGACGTTATTTCTCTCGGCCGAAACTACGGCCGACGTAAGGTATTTCGATTATATTAGGGATAAACCGCCCTTTAATACTGCGCCAAATGGGTATCTATAGGGCTCTATGCTATTGATATAGGGGGAGGTTTATAGTGGGTTAGAGGATATACTATCTGAGGATTGGGTATCTAGCTTGGGCAGAAAGGACCCAGAAGTGTTACATAGTCTTTGACTCGTTCAGCACTATAATGAAAAAATAAGGTATTTTGATTTGGGATATTCAAGACTACCCCTTGCTTCTGTGAAGAGCAGGCCAGAACGTGTGTCATGCATTCGGAAGGAGACCAAAATGGGCTTCCAGTGATGGGTCAGCGTTTCGTGCGTTTGTTTTTCGTCTACTCGATGTGGTAGATGTAGATGTTGATGTTTCTCCGGTCGGATAAACCCTCTTCCTAGCGTTCTTCTCTCGAACGCAGCGAGCGCAGGGCAGGTCTCTCGATGCTATCGTTATTCCACCCTGAGCAGATATGTCTACGCCACAGCAAAATTCCCCGGCGACATAGCCAACTCTCTACAGCCCAGAAATCCTCCATCACATATTCAGAATCCATCGCTGCTGGCTTTTGCAAAGCGATTACTCGTAGCAATAAATCACTATGAGGAAGCTTTCACAACCACAAAGCGTCAACAATATGGAGAGAACGTATCAGGTGAGCCTCAAAGCAAATCACACATCATCCACTAACTTGATTCAGAATGCCATAGCTCTCTTGAACACAAGACGTCGGGCGTCCAGCCAGCGCTGGAAAGATGAGCAGTCTGAAAGCACCAAGAAGCAAGCTCACTCAAGCAATATGCTTGGTGTTAAAGGAAAGCCTGCCTTACATGGCATGGGAAATTGGGTAGAACAACTTGGATATTCGGTGATGAACCAACGTCTGGGCCATATCTTCGAGGCTGACGCAGTATAAGAATGTTAGCCTGGACATTGTACATGTGGCTGGGACCAAGGGTAAAGGTAGTACATGTGCGTTTGCCAGCAGCTTTCTTCAACAACGCGGACGTACATCTGGTTTCCCGGAAAAGATAGGCCTTTACACGTCACCGCCTCTCATCACTACACGAGAGAGGATACAGATCAACGCTACACCTATATCCGAACAACTTTTTACCAGATACACCTTTGAGGTGTGGGAAAGATTGTGGTATCACGCTTCGCAAACCACGGACGGACTTGAGAATATGCCCCGATATCGCCAGTTTCTAATGCTACTGTCGCTTCACGTTTTCGTCAAAGAAGAGGTTGATATAGCCGTGTACGAAACCCATAGTGGCGGCGAATACGATTGTACCAACATTATCAGACCTGCTGTCACAGGCATCACAACAATCGGAATGGACCATGTCAGAGCGCTAGGGCCGAAGATTGAAGATATCGCTTGGCACAAAGCCGGAATATTCAAGCCCGGTGTCCCTGCATTCTCCATGGAGCAAAGCCCGGAGGTTGCTGCTGTTTTGAAGAACCGTGCAACTGAGAAGGGTACCCAACTCCACTTTGTTGATCTTGACGACAGGTTGCCACGCGAAGCGCGGGCATTGAAGTTCAAGGTGCAGAAGAAAAACGCATCTCTGGCCATCTCTCTTGCAGAAACCGTCCTGAAGAAGAAGCTCCTCGAGTCTGATTGCAGACTAAGCAAAACAGACATTGTGAAAGGTGTGGACCATTTCTCATGGCCCGGACGATTCCACACTGTCCAGGATGGAAATCATCAATGGTATCTAGATACCGCCCATAATGAGCTAAGCCTCAAGGTAGCAACAGAGTGGTTCGCGCAGTCTCTAGCGACTGCCCAGAAAAGGTACGCACTTTATGACTGTTTGATTCTTGAGCAGAAGGGGTTTAATGCTGTTAGGAATGTTGACACCGCAGCCCATCCAACCCGAGTTCTCATTTTCGCTCACAATTCGGATCGCGATAAAACAGCTCTTCTGCGGAGTGTGGTCGATACTTTGAAGCTCAGCAACATTCAAGTCCAACATGTTATATTTACCACTTTCGAGGAACGGCGCGATGGAATGACTAGCATTGGCAAGCTAACCACACTTGGCCACACTTTTTGCGATTTCAGCTGACCGTGGTAGATTTCTACAACACGACTCAGGCGAAGATTTCATTGGATGACCTCCAGGAATTGGGTCAGATTTGGAGGCAGCTTGACTCAACAACCCATATCTCACTCGAATCGACTATAGAGGAAGCACTGCTATTAGCTGTAACCCTCGCCAATCCAGACTACGGGCTGCAAGCTTTTATAACTGGCCACGACCGATTGATCGGTCCTGCGCTGAGTATCTTGGAGCCTTCACATCAGGATTTATATCTGGGAGAGCGTTCGGGGGATCATGATTAAAATGCGTATTTCGGAGAAAATAGGCAGTTGTGATGAAATCTAGGCTTTTTATAAAATATCGTAAGTCCTACAGATTCAGGTAACTGATTCTACCTAACTACATACTACGAATAAGTGATGCAATCATCAGATTGACGTGATGAGTGACGTTAGAATGCTTTGAAATCAAGTGAGGATATATCATCTGAAATATTGATCCCGATATAAAGGTTGCTTAGCTTTGGATACCACCCCCCTTACCCATTCAACAGGTTACTAAGGAAAAGGCTCTTAGACAAGTGATATCATCTCCGTGGCTGGAAAATCCTTCATTGCTTCGCCATCCATTATTCCATGAACGTATGCTTCGCCAACAAGCCGGTAATTGTTGCCTTTATTACACCGTCGCAATATGTACGGCACTTGGGCTCCAAGGAAAATGACGAAAACGTCCCCTTCTCGTGTTTCATGAGGCCCAATCCCATAGTAGCCGCTGGATATGGATAATGGTCGCCGGCCTGCGGCAACCACTTGAAGCTGCTCATAGTAGTCCCCGAGACCTGACTCAATCAGTGTCTGCACTCGTGTGAGCCTTAAATCCTTATCTTTCAAAGCCTCGTGCACACTGCTCAGCTTCTCCTTTGAGAATCTCGGCTTCGTCTTCCCTTGTCGGATTTCTTGGTCGGCCACTGCAGTGCGCCAGACAGATTTCTGTCGTCCCTCGGTTGTGTCGTCCTTTGCTACGGAGCATAGTCTGTCTAGATCGTGCAGCCATACACCAACACCCTCAGCTCCCCAAACCGTTCCGAGTTGTCCCACCGTGCTCAAGACTGCGCCTTGAAGAAAAAGCGGCATACGGCCGACACCCTCACTTCCAACGGACAGCTCCAGCGCCCTGTGAGTCCCAGAAGCGGAGAAAGGAGGCTCTAAAATCGCGGTAAGGGGTAGGGCTGATCTGTCCAGAGAACGTTCTTGCAGAGGCCTACGGAGACTCTTGATTGACCAGTCTGGACTCCAGGAGGGAAGGCCAACGGATCCTTTGGATAGATTGCCGAGAGACAGTATATCATAGTGTCCGTTTTGGATAAGAGCACGGGCTACTTCGCAGTACACATCCTCGCATGACTTCTTGTAATCACAATGCAGTCCCAGCGCTTTCGCATCGCTCGCGATGCCTAGCAGCGCAAATACCTTGTCTCTAGGGTCTGTGGCTCCAAACTTGCGCAGGCTACGCAGCAAATACACAAGTGGGAATGGGCTGGCGGCTCTTCGGAACTTTAGCAGCGCGATGGGATCATGAGTATCAAGGGAAACAAGCGAAGTCCAAAGGGGGTCCTGCGGTGATTTGTTCTGGCCGAATCTCAGGATCTGATAGCGCCTGTAATTTCTCAACAACCTTAAGGCATGGTGACAGGCCTCCTCTGCCACTTTCTCTAAACCACATATAAAATGCGCTTCGGAAGCACTGATTAGTTCTTGTACTACCCAGACGCGGCTCCAATAAGGGCGTCTGAACAGCAAATCCAGGGCTTTGATACGCTTAAGTTGCTCAGCACCATTCTGGGACAGCTGTATCTTGAGATCTGCGACAAATTCTAGGGTTTTCTCATCGATAGGTGCTGCCCTGGGTGAGTCGACTGTCTTCAGGAGGTGGCGAAGTTGTAGCTCCGGTCGAGACCCTATGCCGAGCTCCAGTGCCTGTCCACCATATCGCTGAATCCATCGCATCGCGACGTCGCTATCATCTGCAGCCGGGCCTAGCCAAATGGTGACTGAGAACGCTCGAGCATATATTTGTCGCATCTGGTCTATTTGTTCGCTTTTCTCCACATCGTCCTCTTGATCAATGCACAGAGCATCGATCCATAGAGTAAGAGGCTTGTCTTGTAGGCGTAGATGACGGAGTGCTGTTTCGAGATTTGCGGTAACGGAAATTCTAGCACCGTCGAGCAGGATCTCGCTCCGCCGAGTTTGGTCCCCCCAATTGTATGAAAGTGCATTGTAGGGCGGCGGATCATCAAGGGAGACATGCGCGATAGTGCAGCATACTAAGCTGTTCGTAATGATGTCGTTTAGAGGACTATTGAAGCTCTGTTTGCTTGAAGGACGATAGACTTCTGGCAGAACTTGAATAAGACGAATACGTCTTTTGTTAGGAGTCAGCGAGCGATAAACAAAAAAAGACATTCTGGTCAGCGAAAAGCACGCACGCTAAGTTCATCCAGTCGTAGAATTGTCTGTCATAAGAAGCAAGACATTTCGGGGCATTGCACTAGCCTTCGTTCATTGATTGATTATGTAATCTATAAGCCACTGGACCCCATACTTTTCTCTCACGTGGCCGGCTTTTACTCTTTTTTTAATTATTTTATTAAAGGTTGATTTATAGTGATTTAAGTAGTAGCTTATCTATACTAAAAAAAAGTCGCATATTATGTCAAAATCGACTATATCCTCTCAGGCCCTAGTTTGGTGTGTGGGGGAAATAGAAGGATGTGATTGGCTAGAAGGGCGGTAGGGCTATTAAATTGCGCTAAATAGTCAAAAGTGGGTCGGTTCCTGTAAACACCACGTAAAGCCCAAAGTAGGGTCTGATTTATGAGATATCTATACTTTATTCGTTGGAAGAAAAGATGTCCTAAGAGGTAATCGAGGTCCTTCATACTAAAGCTTTTGCCACCACTTGGATGGAAACTGTATTTGTATGTTGCAATTCTTATAGAGACAAGGCATGCTAATATCATGCAGGCAACCAATCGCAGTGGAGAACCGCTTCAAAAGCAAGAGAACCACGATGTGAATCCCGTCTAGTATTGCAACTATCCCGATAGCTCAGTCTATTCACCTCGCAACGAGGCTGGCAACACCAAACAACCTTCCTATTTGCCAAAGTGGCGTAACCTGCCCCAGTATCTTGGACAAATAGCAAGTGTATAGCAATGCACACTTTAAGCGCCAATCGAAGAGCTGGAGAATATGATAGAAAAGCTATTCGGGGTGGCAATCACTGATTGCCTTCATTCCACTGCTCTGTGCCGTGAAGCCGAGCATGGATCAAGCAACCCTGAGTTGCGTGCATGGAGAACTAACTGACTGGTGAAATCAAGTCGTACGAGCATATACAGAAGGCGAAGGAATCTGCCCAGAAGCCTCTGATTCTGAACCGGGAGGGACAAATTCACGTGGAGTGTACTACGTGAGTGTTCAACTCCAGGAACTTTAGACAGACATGAAATGAATGACCAAGGACGATGTTCTGGATGTGTCTGTGTAAGATGGATGGTATTTACACTAAATCAACGACCAGTTGGTGAATTTGCTAAAGTCGGTCGCAAAGGTGGTGCTTGACGATAGCTTCATCGCCACCTTCATTGCCGTATAATTTCCTAAAGTATATAAGCTCCTCGCCCTTCATCTACTTTTTGCGTACAAACGACTACGAACGAGAGCCTTTTCTTATTCGGCCATTTCGATCCTTCCTTTCCCAATTTTCGTTCTCGCCACAAAAGACCTTTGAACATGGCATCTTCATCCCACCTCCGAGATATACGCCAACGCTCTATGAAAGATCTGGAGATCATGAATTCTTACGACCTCTTAAAAGCCATAAAGACTACCATCACCGACTTTCAAGAAAGCCAAAGAGCACTCACCGACGACGTTGTACGCATTCTGAAGGTCAAACAAGGTCTCCTTCTCGCGGATCCTTCAAATGCAACCGAGACACTTGCCGAGCGCGGCGTCGACTACGAAGGTACCAAAGTCGAGATGGAGAGCACGCTTGAAAGTCTTAGACACAGCATTAATGATGATACGGGCAAGATCTCAAGAGCGGTTGTGCAGTTTTTGGATACGGAGAAGCAGGGACAGCCGCCTGCAAACGAAACCAACACGACGGTGGATTTTGTGCAAGATTCATTTTCGGAACTCCTTGCTGGACTTGCTCCCTCTCCGAGAAGTGTCAATTCAGCACCTTCACATCAGCTGGATGTCCCTACATCCACGAACTCAGGAGCTGTTTCGGGCAATGCGGCTCGGCCTTCTACTCTGCGACCTCCAACTAATAATTGGGCGCTTCAAACTAGCAGCCATGACGAACGAAAGCGACATGCTACTGGCGTTCAGCAAAATACAGATGTCATTCCACCTTCACATCAACCGGAAGATGAGCCAAGTGATGAGTCAGACGACACTCTCGATCATTCCTATAGCCAGTTTTCGAGCGCGGACATCTACTTCGATTTTCTCGATGCCCATCCCTATGAGGCGCATCCTGATTTACAAAAGAGTCTAGAAAATAAAGAGAATCTGCATTTCAAACTACGTGCCCCTGGCAGCCACAGTCCGGTCAATCACAATTCCATGGCTTTGGATCTTAGCTCTAAGAAACGACGCCATGGGGAGGATATATACACAGATCCCGAAGCCAGTAGTCTTCATTCACGCAAGAAGCGCTATCACAGAAGTTTGAGAGCGCTTGTGACCAACAAATCCCCCGAGAAATCCACAGAAGAAGTTTCCTCAGATGATGCCGATGATACATCTGAACCAGAAGTCTCCATTGGAACCAAGAACCAGCATCCCTTTCCCACCAGCAATGATCCAATATACCAGGCTTATGAAGCCCTCGGCATCGCGAAGCACCACCTCTACACCCATGAGGACGTGGCCGAGAGATACACTCAGCTATGCGAGAAACATTCGCACAGCTCCAGTGCTGTCAAACGCTACACGGCTGCTCTCGATGTCATTGCCAACAGTCGCAAGAGCTTGTATCTTCTTACTAAAAAGTTCAAGAAAGTTGCCTCTCCCGAGATCGCATACAAGCCAAAGAGCTGGCTCGAATCTCTTTCATCGGCCGATGACGATGCACCTAGTCTCCCCCGAGCTACTGGAGACAGATCGAAGCTCCGGAATACTACCTTTCTCATCAATAGATGGGAAAAGGAACACCAGCAAGTGTGTATCAAGACGGCAGGTTTCAGCCATCAGCGCGAGAATACTCTCGCCCCAGGAACAGCCGATGACCTCGGTCGCAGCGCAGCAGCTTTTCACTACCGCGCTCATTGATATGCAGAAGATCCCGCTATGGCAGAAAACCGTTTCCAGGAGGAACACGATGACGAGGAAAGATCTTGCTGCGATCGCGACATCCAGACTGCAGCACACCAAGCAAACCACTATCACCACCAGCCTGAGCACCACATCAACCATTCTGCACCAGCTGTCGAGAACTCGATCCTGAAATCAGAGCAATCTTGCTTCTGGATACGCGCGTCGAGCTGTGTACAGCAATCCCGAACTTGGTTACGATAATGCTGATACCGGATATCCAGCTACAACGGTAAATAGAATACACAGCCCCATGCATCTGATGGTGCCTGATGCGCAGCACCCGCAAACATACACAGTGCCAGAGCCGCATTATCACAACTCCGGATCCCATCCCGCGGACCACGGATCCAGCCTCGGTCCTCCAATCTATGTGGACCGTGCGAACAACGCAGTCGGTTTGCCATGAGCACGAGCAGCGATGTGGGCGCTGGGGTGGACGATGGGTATTTCTTGGCCCGTCGTTCTTTTGGTGGTTACTGAGAATGAAGTTGGAGATGGAGATGGATATGGAGATAGAAATTTTGCGTTCGGGGCCATGAGGGGGTGTGAAGTACAGAAGCAGGGAAAGTGGAGATTTTGGAGCTTCGAAGCCTGTTGCTGAGGACTGTGGTTGGTGAATATTCGGACTGGGGGGGTGCCGGAGGGAGGTTGCGCCATGCACGGGAGCGGGTGGTTTTGGGGAAGTAACTAGACTGGATGCATTCAAGTAAATATACACTCTTTGTTGCAAAGTTTTGGATCTTGAACGTGAAGCCATAGTTATGTGAACAATATGAACATTGTGTTTGCGGTATGTACAAAACTAACAAGCAATATTTACAAGAATCCAGAACCACCCATCTCAAATCCCGCCGATAGATGCCTCGACGCTCCCTAGATACAGCTCCCCGCCACACTCGCCGTTGTATTCTTCACATAAGCAGCCAACGGGTTATCTGCACACAGCAACCCCTTCACAAACTGCTCCGCGACAATAGCTGCACCCTCAGGACTCGTATGCGTATGATCATTAGGATAGAACGCGTCTACCGTCGTAGCGCCCAGCGCGATAAAGCGATTCGCAAGATACTGGCCATGGTCGACAAACGAAGCCAGGCTTCCCACGTTGCTGACGACGATCTCGCAGTACCCCGTGAAGCGACTCGGGGTATAGGAACAGGTGCCGGTCTCGCACGGGTTGTCTGGGGTCGGGCTGCTGATGATAACGTGCGCGCCCTTGGCGGTCATGAGTTCCGCCGCGTTGGTCAGGTACGTCGGGTATGTCTGTACGACTACGCCGGCGTCCGTGGTGCATGTCTCGTCGCCGGAGCCCACGCAATCGGAGCGCCCGTTGTCGGTGGGCGTGAGAGAGCCGCCGTCGTTATGCCCGAATTCAATGATCACGAAGTCGCCCGATACGACGGTGTTGGCGAGCGTTGTGAAGCGGCCTTCGTCCGTGTAGGAGCGTGCGCTGCGGCCACCTATGGCATCGTTGACGACGGTGAGTGAGAGGGAGTAGGGGAGATAGACGCCCCAGCCTAGGTAGGAAGTCAGTTTTGGTACTTGTGAGGAGCTGCAAACGAACCTTCGGTTCCGGTCCCTCCTCCTCCTTTGGCCATGGTTGAGTCACCGGCTAGGTAGACTATTGGAGTAGCTCGTTTCGTGATAGCTTCATCTGTTGGCAAAGCTATTGAAAGAGTCGCCAGTGCGGCGGAGAGGGGAAGGTAGAACGACTTCATGACTTTTGTTTGGATGAGAAAATAGGAAGAATTAGGGCCAGAGAATAAAACGATAGAGGAAGAAGACGCAACTATTAATACTCCAAGCAGAAATCGAAAACGGACAAAATGGAAGTTAAATAAATCTATTTCGCGTGTTTCGTGGCCATCTGTCCCGACTTATCCCATCACCTGTTCATCTTAAATACGAGAATACCCATCATTCCGCCAATGAATGAACCAAGCAATGCAGATGGTCATGAAACGGAGCAATATAAAAGAGACTTTGGATTGTTCCAACTAGCTGTACAGGTACGGGCCCCGGCTAGTCAAGTGTGGGGAAACAGGTGCGATTGGTGGGATCTTGGTTGAGGGATCACTGGACCCGTTATATTTTCCATATGGCTTCCAACCACGACCTCCAATCACAATGAAATTCCCGCAGGATTGGCAATGGAGAATTATTGTAATACGGGTAGAGATGCAGTGGAGTCGTTCATGCTGTTTGAAACGTTGGGCTGAGAATTTTAACTTGGCATCAGTCAGACGATCATGTGAGCAGCCACACGTGATGCCCCTTTTTCTTTAATATTGCGAATTTGTTCCAGTATAGATATCTAGAGAAGTCCCTTGGCGTAGATAAAAGTACTGTACCCTTAAGGTATGTCATTCTTAGATATCGAATTGCTGAAGTCATCGGGTGATGGGTAAGGGGACATAAAACTGAATGATGTGGGTATAAGGACTACGGAAACCATAAAACTTGAATTAAATGCGCTTAGAGGTCAAACTTAACAGCTGTTGTTTAGGGATCTGAAGCAAGTTAATGGTTTGAAGACATGAATCTGGAAGTGTCCATTTATAGATTTTGCGACCTCAATCGGATCCGGTTTACGGCGCCGCATTTCGGCTCCGGTCTTTACCTCCGAACAGGGCAGTGGGAGACAATTATTCTTCTATTCTAAGAACACCCCTTCAAAAAATATTCTTATATATACTGGTCTCTATCATTCTTGTCCTCAAAAAGCCCAACAAATTCAGACTCAATTGCACATTTACAGCAGCCTTCACCATCACCTCCACAAATCTCAAATCCGATAACATGGCTCCCCTTAACATAGCCATCATTGGTTCCGGCCTCTCGGGGCTTTCCTTAGCACTGGCTCTGCATCAACAAAACATCCCATGCACTATCTATGAAAGTCGTCCCGCATCATTGAACATTGGAGGCGCCGTTATGCTTTCTCCCAACGCCCTCAAAATCCTCGACGCACTTGGAATCTATGAGCGAGTCCGAGACAAGGGCTACAACTTTGAGACGCTTGAATACAAGAACGGATCTGGAGAACTGCTTGAAGTGTACGAGTTTGGAAGCAAAGAGAAGTATGGTTACGAAGCTCTTCGGATTTACCGAACTGTACTCATCGACGAGCTTCTGGCCATGTTGAAGGAAAAGGATATCTCTATTGTCTTTGGGAAGAAGTTTACAAAAGTTGTAGCGGAGACGGAAAATGATGTGACTTGGGAGTTCCAGGATGGAAGTACCCAAACCGCAGATATTCTTGTTGGTGCAGATGGGATCCATTCAACAGTTCGCTGCTACCTCTACCCGGACTTAGTCCCAGCTTTCACTGGTATGGCTGGAGTCACCGCAGCTGTTCCTACCAAACAACTGAAAATCCCCACTGGATATCATATTCCAGTCACGATCATGACACCAAATGGAGGCTTTGTGATTGCTCCCCAAGAGGTCGACGGATCAGAAGTCTTGATAGGCAAGCAGAAGCGTATGGGCGAAGGTTTCGACAGAGCTGGGTGGGATCGTTACATGGCAGACAAGGATGCCTTTGTAGAATTCCTCCAAGAAGGCGCCTCGAACTTTCCCGAGATGGTGCAAAATGCAGTATCGCACATCCCTCACAACAAGATCAACGTTTGGCCCTTTTACGCCGTTCCCAAGCTGGAGAAATGGGCTTCGGAGAAGCGACGTGTGATTATTTTGGGTGATGCCGCACATGCTATTCCACCTAGCGCCGGACAGGGTATCAACCAAGCTTTCGAAGATGTATACATGTTTGCTCTGCTGCTCGGCCAAGCAGACAAGGTTGAAATGCAAGATACGTTGAGCTTTTGGCAGGATTATCGACAAAAGCGGATAACCAAGGTCATGTGGTTGAATAGGCAGACTGACCTTAGACGGATGCCCAAGGAGGCTCAGACGTCGGGAGAGATTATTGAAGAGATTGAGTTGAGTTGGTTGTATCTCCCAAATTTCAAGGATGACGTGGAAAGCTGGGTGAATGGGAAGTTGGAGAAAAGAGATTGATTTCACTCAAATTTCTTGCTGCTTTAGTGTAATTAAAAAAGAGTGATATGGCATTAAATAATAGCTTATGGCTTTGAAGAAGGTTTAGCAAATGAAGCTCCCATAGCAGTCTGAGGCCCTTTCAGTGTATCTAGGTAATGAATGCTTCTTGGCGCTCCTTTAAATCGATGTTTACACTAGGCTTTTAAATTTCGCAAATTCTGTCTCAAATTATGCACCGAAAAAGAGATCTTGACTTTGATTGCATGGTCTGAGATAGGCAACGTTCCAATCATTTGCAAAAAACTATGCCTTTAGGACGCAAGGGACACAGGTATGGCATCTGCGCCTCCACGTAAAGGGGCTCGCTTAAATAACAGAATGAGGGGTAAAGTTATGCACAATGGAAGAGATGCGAGAATGCGATGCAATAAAGACTTGTGTACCTTTTCAAAAAGAGACAGACTTAATAGAATCGCACTCCTTAGAAGTCCCCATTGTTTGCGATCCTGATAGACAGTCACTAAATGTGAGTCGGACCACGCCACCTGGCACATCTTCACTAGTTGCGAAAATACAATATGTATTGAATTAACACAAAACACATCGTCAAACACAGAAAGGTGCCAACTTGGACAAATGGGTCAGGACAAATTGTGTATTGGCAAGTAGGAATGTGAACGCCCCTTTAATGTTTAACCGCTAGGGAGTTATCCTGAGGTCAGCGGCTGCTTTATTATTATTTAATCGTCGAAAAAGGAGCGTGTGCTCATGAGATTATGTTTTTCAAGTATTAGCGGTCGCATCGCACTAATTGCTTCTTTAGGGGTAATGTTCGCAGTCGTGAGACAATGACATCTTTTGCTCTGGAGAACGGATAGATGGCTGTAGATATGTTTTACTAAGGCCATCGGCAAGAGTTGGTTTTGGTCACCGCGCTGAAAAAGGGAGAATCGCTTGGGGTTATTATGTCGTGGCTGATTGCGCTGGTAGGTGCACACATGCTTCAAAATTTCAAATACCTGCTAATTAAGAATTCTGGGGTTAGGAACTGGTTGCGATCTTTGCGTGTCATCCTGTTTATGGTTATTGGGATAAGACTATTCCTTCCAAGTGCATCAATACCACGAATTTCTACTACGGAATCGGCATTCCTAACCTCATCACCGACGTCATGTTAATAATATTCCCTCTTCCTTTGATTTGGAGATTGCATATGCCTCTATCTCAGAAAATCGCCGTGAGCAGTATCTTCGCACTAGGTGGATTGTATGTTGCCCTTTTTCTTCAGTCCGATCGACCTACATTTACCGCAGATGAGAAACTTACAAGCAAACTAGTATAGTTGTGGTTTCTTTCATACATGTTTTCACCGTCAATTCAATCGGGACGAACCCCGATATCTCTTGTAAGTTTCAATGTGCAACAGCCTATGAGAGTCTGCTAGCTAAATCTTGCACAAGGGGAGATAGTTCCCGACGCACTCTGGAATGGGATAGAATGCAACATTGGCACCGTTCTAGCTTGTCTATCTAGCATACGACCATTGCTTCGATTTATCATAGGGCAAAAACTGAAGAGGACAGTTGCAAAGGACAGCTCTATCGAGTCTCAACCCGGCAACCTTCTACATAGTCACCAGTGGTCTAATATCAAGCGCACCAACCAATTAAAGATAAACACCTTTTCTCGGCTGTATGATGCAGATGAAGGAGACGAGGGGTAAGATAAATGTTCTAAGATGCGCCATCGCGCCATAGAGCTCGGATAGGTACGGACACAAACTCGAATTAGTGCTCGGGCTTGACGAACAGTCTGGAAGAGAATAGGGGACCTTGCTCTCATAGTTCCAAGATACGGAAAGGAAGTTCTGGGCTATAATGTTATCTTCCTCAACTAGTGAAACTATGAAGAACTGCTGCTTTTATAGACGCTTAGTATTTTGTTATTGCAATAGTGTGTAATAAAGGTAGGTAAGTACAATTCGTGCAAGAGCAGAGGATATCCCTCATCCACTACCACTCCGCCAGAAGCCTGAATCCGCAAGACACTGTTCTTCTTCGCACTCTTCTCCGCCAAACTCCTTTCCTCGGAATGTCTTGGCTAAGGTGTCTCACAGTTCCTCAATCTAAGCTTCGGCACCACGCTCCCTATGCAAGTAGCTACCTAGGTAGTTTTCCGCATCCTACACTTTAGCGGCAGGCCCTTGTCTTTATTGCGGTGCTAATCAGGCATGTGCTGGTAGTCACGTATAACATTGCCAGCCTGATCAGGGATCTTTTTGGCGAGGGGTTGAGGTGTTCATATCGACGGCCATTGCAGGATACTTGGTATACTTTGGTCGTCAATCTATCAGTTACCCGGCCGCTGGTAAAGATGAAGGCTTCTTTGGTGCGGGAGCAATATGAAGTAGATAGGTATGGAGTCTTGTCCACATTGCAGCTGAAACTTGGTGCTCGCTCGATTGGTGGAGATGTATATCTTTCCCTCTACAAATACAAGGCACGTAAGTCTTACGTACATAGTACAGCGGATCCAAGGCTAGGCTCGACATTTGCACTCGGAACATCTAGATCATTTCCCCCGGAAGATCGAAAAGACCTTATCTCCCAAAGTCTCCTTGCCCTGTTCCCTCCTCTTCTGCCGCGCCTCGTCCTGCTGCTGATGTAGCACATCCAGTCTCTCCGCCACTTGTGTACCAGCTTCTATCTCCGCCTTGATGGCGCGCTCCTCCAACTCCCGCTGCTCGCCTTCCATGGTATCTAATTTCTTATTCAGTGGTTTCTGCACCTTGGTTCGTAGATCTGATATCTCAATGGGATGCACTCTCGCTGGTGTATATTCGTTTGCCGGCTCGCCGAGCTTAGGTCTTGAGGATAGTAGTGGAGGGAAGGCGGGTACTGGTCTCCCTTCGGTCTTCGCCTCTTCAATTGCCTTTTCTTGTGCCAGCATGCGGTGGTATAGGGTATCGGCATGCATTTGGATCTTCTCGTCGACGTCTGAAGGTCGGTCGTAGGTTGATAGGTAGCCTAATGCTTTCAGGAATTTCTATACACCCATATATTAGCACCGCGTAGACTATTAGGATAGATACCGACGTACTGCTTGCATCATATAACACCTCTCAAACTTCTTGTTCTCATTTCTACACATACTGGTCTTCGCCGACCAGCCGCCCTTTGTGAAGCAATCGCTAACTTCAATTTGTTCCATCACGCAGTTCTCCAATGCCACCCTTCCTATTTCTGCCCTCCTGTGCTGGTAGCCTTCGAGGATATCCATCATCTTCTCTTGGTCTGATTTGCCCTCTGCCTCTACCTCCGCCTGCGGCCGGTAAGTCTTCCATAGATGCGCGTACCGTCCATCTTGGAACAAGCTTGCTTTTGGGACTTCTGGGGGCGCATTTTCATCTGGTTTGGATATAGGGTGCCCTGCATTGGGTTCTGGTGCTTGAGCGCGATGTTGTGGTGTTGCTGGCGGGTTGGAGGTATCGTATTTGACGGGTGATTCTTTCTTCAGGAAGTCTCGCAGGCTTGGGTCGAGGTCGCGGAGGGCATCTTTGTTCGCATCGTCAGAGGAGCCCCAGAACCAACCCATTGTGACAGTTGTGAATAGTTTCAATAACGCTGTTTGTTGTACAGTAGATAGTTGTCGTCTGGAGCTTGACAATGCGGAACAGAATTATTGCATGGGGATCTGCCCTAAAAATTTAGGCGACTCGGCTCCACTAAACACGCCACGCCACGCCACAACCACAACCTCTTCCAGCAACAATGTCAACTACCAGCTACCTACCTACCTTACCCAATGTTCAAAACTGGAATGCCCGTGAAAACCCCGTTTTGACTTCTGAAGTTTCAATATTCTATACGTACGGCCTTTTAATAGCGAGTATCGAAGCTCGTTTTTGCTACCAAGTGGTGTGCTATCGCTCAATATCAGACGAGCCAAAACACTAACAAGGCAGACAGATCATGGAAACAACCAAGGGTTGATATACAACTATTTATCAAATGTTATTTATATCTATCTGTATCTTCATACCTCCTCTATCTCAAGCAACAGGCTCTCCCAAAAGCCCAAGATACTGCTCCACCACACTCTTGACCTGCTCCTCATAACCCAAAAACTTAAACCCAAACACCTTCTCCGTCCGACTCGAGTCAACTTTCGTCCTCTTAGTCTTCGCCGTCCCATTATTAGGCAAGATGCCCTTTCTAACAGCCTCCGGAAAATTGCGATTCACAATCCCAATCGCCTCTTCCCAGCGCGTGCCCCTCTCCCCCCCAGACACAGCCAAGAAGCTTTGATTGCCCTCGATCTCAGGATCCAGGGCCGCGACATGCAGCCGCGCAATGTCGGCTGGATGGACACTGGTGCTAGGCACAGCGCCCCATCTGCTGTCGCGGCCCAGGACCTGCGCGAAGGCTGCGGAGACCGTGGAATCGCAGATGAGAGTGGCGTCTGTGATGATTTCGTTGTCGCCGACCACGAACGAGGGCATGATGTGTATGATGTCCCACTGGGGCTTTTTCTCCCACAGGAACTCTTTGGTTGCGAGCAGGGCGCGGACTTTGCTGGCGGCATAGGCTTCGAAGGGGTTGGTGTAGGGGCCTGCGGGGAAGGGGATCTCGTAGGTGTCGTCGAAGACCGTGTCGACTTCTTTGGCGATGAACTCTTCCCAGGGGATGATGGCGACTATGGAAGATGTGATGACGATGCGCTGGATGCTGGGGGTTTTGTGAGCCGCGCTGAGGATGGATGTTGTGCCTTTAATGGCGGGCGCGATGAGTTCGGACTCGTATTGGGCAGGGGTGAACCCTTCGCCTTTGATAACGGGAGAGGCTATATGGATGATGTATTTCACACCCTTGACTGCTTCGTCATATGCGTTGTCCGCAAGGATATCGGGGACGATCACAAAGGTAAGTTTGGAGCCTGGGTTGATGGCCATGACGGTCGGTGTGGCAAGGACGGCCTTGGCTTTTTCTTGGGAACGAACTGCTGCACGGACAGAGTATCCAGCTTTGAGAGCTGTGTGGATAGTCTTGATCCCGATGAGACCAGTGCCACCAGTGACGAGGATGAGTTCTCCTGCCATTGTAGCGCGTGCTATATTCTTGTAGAAGCTGTTGGCGGATTTCTGAGTTTGACTGGTATTTATATAGACAATCTTTGAACTGATGCTCTAAACTAAAATCCAACACCGTCCCTTATTTATACAGAATTCCCCCTCCCATCTCATCACTAATCTCCAATCCGCCCCTTGCTGAGGTCCTCTATTAACAAGCCAAACTCGCTGAGTCACTCGATATATTACCGCATCCGGACAATGATGCCTAAACCACAGACGCATTTACTGAACACCGCTATGATGAGTGATCCATCTATCTTATACGCTGATTAATACAACACAACACAGCTAGCAGGATTATCAACAACGAACGCACGCCCCTCGCACCCATCTTCAGCCGAGCAGCTTACTGCTGAACGTAAATGCATGTCTACCCAAGCCAAGGCAGCGTATTGGTCTTTCTAAAGACTGCCCGTGTAAAGTAATCAATGAATAGTCTAGATGAATCACGTGCTTGGACGGGGACGTCCTTTGCAGCATGCATGCATTTCGAGCGTTGCGTTTTGAAACGTGTAGGGTGTCTAAGTAAAATAGATGCCTTTCCTGGAGATGGGAGTGGTGGGATGGGGGAATCGAGGGTGTTTACTGGAGTTGATGGATGACCTTGATACAGCAGGTACCCTTCATAGTTTGCTTCGAGTCGGCGAGTCGCTTTGTCGCTTGAGAGGAATGTGCCGGCAGAAATAGTGAAGTATGACTAGGTAGGTATTCACGTGGAACTACCGTAGCTTCAGGCAAAGCTTGTCTTGACAGAAAAGAGGTTTCACGAGAATGAGACAGAGTCTAATTTGGTATCTCTGGCTGATGATCTCCAACATGTTGTACGTGATACCTACCAAGACCTCGGAACGTGTTAGGTTGATAAAAGATGGCATTGGAATTATAATATGTCTATAAAGTTTTATCCAGACAAATACTTTCCAGCCATTTCCCAAACCTCACAGTCGGTATATCGACACCACGCCAGAACCAATCCGTAGCCACGACGGTTACAGGAGCAATGAGCAATAAGAACGGGCCTACAATCCCCATCGCATATCCCCATCCTGAATATCCAGTAATATGCAACCAGCTGTTAATAACAACATAATGTCCCAACGTCTTGATGACCGTTCCATGCACCAGATACAAAGCAAAGGAAGTCTTGCCGATATACTGCGAGAACGGAGTTTCCAGGCCCCGCTGAAGAATCCGAAGACGTCCTGCGACGAAAACGAGGAGAATCCCTCCGACTGCTAGCCAGAAGAAGAGATCCCATGCCGCGGATGGAGACCAGTATGATAGAAGACTGTAGAATGCCACTCTTTCCGCCCCAACTGTTGGATAGGACAAGAACAGCAGAGCCCAGACGAAAATCACGGCCCAGAACAACTGATCTCCCTGAGCCTCAACGAAAGACATGGCCCGTTCTTTCAGGGCCGTAATATTCGTCGATCGACAGTCACTGCGAAGAGAGCCAAGAGAGAGGCCACTAGAAAATTCGTCCGGAGAAGATCTCGACTGACCCCTTCTTCGACGCATCCGCAAATCCAAATCCGCAAGCGCGGACCCCGCCAGGAATGTTGCAATTGCCCACTCACCCCAGAAAAGAGCGGTAGCAGACGACAGCATGAAAAACGCAAGTCGCAGATTCGGCTGCATCTGGGATGTCCCCTGTAGACATAGAAAGAGAACACAACTGGATCTGAACTCCACATGCAGGGTCCAAGTATGTCCGTCGACTTTGGGAAGCATGCCTGTCCCACTCCATTGCCACAGTGTTGCGCGTGCGAATTCGAAATAGTCCTTGAATGCATTGTACACCGTTCCCCAAAAGGAATCCCCGCGCTCGAGATACTCTTCAATCATGCCCGGAGGCATGCCGGGGTTGTCAATTCTGTAGATAGCGAACCACTGGAAGGCATTGAACTCGACTAGGAAGATGTTGATGACCCATAATGCCGCAACCGGCAGGAACAATCTTGACCAGCGGCGAAAGATCGTGGACGTAAGCGCTCCCTGCAACTTTTCGAATTCGCGGGCGTGGATAAGTTTGTACGGTTTGTAGCTTAGCACGTAGCCCGATAGCACGAAGAAGATGGTGATGGCTGCTTGGCCGTTGTAGACCATGCGGAAAATAGGGCGTTGGAACCAGTGGTCGGTTTGGACGAAGTGATTATTATTACCCTCGCCGTATGGATGCCAGCCTTCGTTGCAATATGCGCTAATGACGTGGGAGAAGAACACAGCGTAAGAAGCATATCCGCGTAGTCCGTCAAGGTATGCAGTTTCGTGGAGCTCGTCTGAAGATGGGGGACCTGGTTGTAGGAAGCTTGGTACTAGCCACGACCCAAGTTTCAGTGCGAGGATGAGGACATGTCTTGGGCTTTTGATTGTCCATCGGGGACGATATTGAAGGATGTTGTTCCAGTGGTAATTGATGAGGCCTAGAACCAGAAGAAAAGTGTCTGTTTTGGGGGCGGGGGCCAAGGTCTTCTCTTCGATGGTCATGGATTCCTGGGTGGTTGATGACTCGGGAGCTAGGAAAGGAACGCGCTCTTCGACGCCGACATCTCTGGATGCCATCCCAAGTAGATTCGGAGGCGTTGGACGCCGTGTCCGAAAGATGAATCGCGAGGTTTCCTGGACATGAAGACGACGGTGAGTGAGAAAGTGCGGGATATGGACCTACCAGGGTATATTCCCCACCCCCAGTCCCCCGCCCCCTACTAGATAACACTGTGCTCCGTGAGTAGACCGGGGCGGAGCGGGGAGACGATTACAGTAAAGTAGATGTTATTCAGCTGGAAACCTAGGAAGGAGATGCGCCGAGGCGACCAAACGAGGACAACGTCCGAGCCGACTTAACTTTACTACTCCGTACGAGGTATAGAGGGGCTAGCCCCACCAAATCAGCAAACGTTACCTTAGCCAATAGTACAGTAAGCATATAATATAATTCCAATACTCCATACCGCCGAAAAGTACTTCGTACGAGATTATGCCAACGTGTTTTTCTCTCCATCCAACCTTCATATCAAGTTGATTTCCTCTTTGACTCTTCAACTATGCATTGCACTGTCCTGCGAACACAACTGCTTCCTTGCGCCCTTAGGAGATCTGTTATCTTCTCGCGCGCCCACCACAGCGCAACAGGGAGATTCATCACCATTAGCTCCCAAGGAACTCCAGTCACTCGTGAGATTGAGCTTTCGTTAGGAGACCCAGGATCTACTTATGTCACGTTTGATCCTGAGATCAGCTGGGCTTTCAAGGCAGGGACCATTCTACAGGGTAGTAGTTCCTCAACACAAGATCAGGACTTGTATCCGCTGAAGTTCTACCACGACACCCGACACTTCTCTCACGGTAAGGAGTTTGCATCTATAACATAGCTTCACTAATTGCATATTATCTAGAATCCTCACTATACCCCCGCCTCGAGATACCTGAAGATCTTCCACGACAATCGAACGCGAACAGTAGTTCAGCAACTCTTCATACTTCTGGAGTAACTCATGCCATTACACTTGATAATACGCCAGATGGTAGGTCGCGCATTGTATTAAACTGTATCTGCTAAGCTTTAGACAGCACACTTTCAACATAGCATGAGAGAGTCAGCCCAGCGGCTGCAACCGGTCTTGGATAAGCTCAAGGATATGTAGAATATCGCTTGCAACTCTCTTATACACTGCGCAATGTTCGTCGCAAATCTCTTATGTTGGCGTCACAGTTCATTATAGCGTCTGTTTGGCCATGTAGGCGATGAATTGTCTTGTTTAAAAGGTTGTTCATAATACTTTGCGTCTCTTTTGGTTTCAACAAGGTGTTCATTGTTTTCCTGCTCTATTCGAAGAGGCCTGCAACAAGCGTTCCTAAGACGAACGTCCCATCACCAGCAGGATTGGAACCAATAACCCAATAACGAAAATCTACAAGGTCCCCTGCGTCACCCCTCCCCTCCTAAACTCTCCTTTGCTACTTCACATATCCTCAATACTCTGTTGCATTATCACGATATCCCATAATTTCTGGAGTCGAAGAAGTAATTCGAGTCGCAATAGATTCGTAGTATCGTCCGAATTGCTTCGCATCCCACTGTTTCGTCGTCACCGCAACATGTGCACGTGCGAGCTCATCAACGGCATCATTTGCCATAGGCGTTTCCTGGAGATAGAAACCATTCATCTTCAAAAACATGTCGGCAGCAAAAAGCGCCGTGCGTTTGTTGCCATCCTGGAACGCGTGGTTGTTCATGATCCTTTCGGCAAGAGTGCCCGCGAGCTGAAAGATGTCCTGCTGCCCCTCATAGTGCTGAATGCTCATTGGCGAGTTGATTGCTGACTCCAACATGGCCGGCTGACTTGGTTGGCTGGCCGTGATAAAACCTTGGTGAATTCTGATGACCTGGGCGGACGTCAAGAAGCGCAAGCTCCTAGCGGCGGCGGAAGACATTCTGAGAGATGATAGGTCGGAAATAAGACAAAGCTCAGATGAATATGACAGGTATAATCATCGTTTCTAGGAGGGAAAGTTAGGATTGAGGAAACGGTTGATAGTTGGGTTTCACCGCGGTAATCTGTGATTCCAACAGGTCGTGGTACTGCGATAAATTAATCAGCTGGAGTTATGATGGCCTAAGGCTTATACGGCACGACTTACTAGGTACTGTAGGTTATTTTACACCGCATAAAGCCTCCCGTTCGGGCCGTTGCCAGGTACGCTGTCACCGTGCACTATCTTCGTTTCGAATTAATATGCAGGCAAGTACACGTCTTTCGAATAAAAACCATCGCCTTTTGAGGTTTGGTTGAAACAACACTGCATTCATTGCTTTACGTCACAGGTTTCTCTTAATCTTCCAAGTAGCCCATCTCGCCTCACCACCCATAAACCCCATCCTTGCGTATGAACTTCCCCACATCCGCATCTCTCTTCCCCTCAACAACAGCCAGCAGCCCCTCAGCACTCTCCTTCGGACTCTTCGCCCCCCTCGCAATCCTCTCCTGCACGCCCTTCTCCCCCGTGCCGCTCAAGCCCGTAACCACATACCCCGGACAAAACGACCAGACCTTCACGCCCTGATCGCCCAAGCGCGCGTAATCATACGCAGTCAGCATGTTCAGCCCCGCCTTGCTCATCATGTACGCTGCCACAGGTGCCTTGTAATAGGGGTTCTTAGGATCGAGCGTCTGGCTGATAGAGCCTAGACCCGAGGAGATGTTGATCATCTTCGCCTTGCTGGACTTCAATAAGAGCGGAGTGAAGGTCTCGCTGACGACGGCGGCGCCGATGGTGTTTGTCTCGAAGGATTCGCGGAGCTGGGCTCGCAGAGATGGGGCGTGGGATATGAGGCCTGCGTTGTTGATCAGGACGTCTACGCGGCCGAATTCTTTGGCGATGGTGGACGCGGCCGCGCTGATGGATGCGTCGTCTGTGACGTCGATAAGGACGAAGGAGATGGTGCCTTGAGGGTTTTTGGAGCTGATTTCCGATACGGCTTTCTCGCCTTTTTCGACGGAGCGCGCACCGATGATGGTGTGGTATGAGGGGATGGTTGCGAATAGAGAGGCGGTTTCAAATCCAATGCCTGCAGTTGCTCCTAATCACTGGTTAGATGACGCTCAATTCTAAGAGGGTGGGGGTTGTACCGGTGATGAGGATGATGGTCTTGTTGGAATCCATGATGGAGTTTGGTTTGATCTAAAGATATGGACTGATTGAAGCTCGTCCTGATTGAAGCTCGTCCTGATTGAAGCTCGTCCTGATTGAAGCTCGTCCTGATTGAAGCTCGTCCTGATTGAAGCTCGTACTGATTGAAGTTCCGAAATAGTCTGAAACAAGTCCGGAATCCCGAACGGAAACTGCTCTTATATAGGTACCTGGGTACATTCCAAAGCTCCGTCAGACAACATACGAAGTAGATTCTGCCCGGCAGTGAATCACGGCGCCATTCACTTAATCCCGATCCCCGCGGAGTCCACCCACAATGCCAAGCAGCTCGGCGGGGCGCGGTACTGTACGGAGTAATTGTTTGGTCTCATCTCGTGATAAGTGTGTTCTTGTGTGGTTAACTCTATTTTCAAAGCAACTTTAAACGAACGGGTGGCGTTCCGTCTCTAAGTCCGGCCCCTAAAGCCGGGTTTATTCTATATTAGCACGCAAAGCAAATGCATACCTTGTCATACTCATGTACCTACTTGAGGTAAATATCTCTTGATCTATTCTCTCTCAAACTCATTCAACATCGAGTTTCCTTACCTAGACGTCATTCAGATCCCTTCGCTTTCTATCTCACATCACAGCACACCACAGCACCTACTACCTTACCTCACCTGCCTTACGTCACGGAGTCCCAGCCATGTAGTCGATTCGATGAAACCCCATGCATGATGGGATGAGATGTTTACGGAGTAGGTTGGCTGTGGCCTAGTATCGAGAGAGAGAGTTTAACCTAATTGTAGTACAGTACAAGTGCGTGACAAAATCAAGATCGGGATTTCTAAACGAGTCTACTACAGTATCTTGGGTAGCAGATGGGAAAGGAGTTCTGCTTATTGGATTAACGGCGCCGTTTATTCAGTTGATCAATTAATTAAGCAAGTAAGCTAAGAGCGTGAGAATGCATTTGTACCTGACTTGAGAGCGAGGTACTGGGCACGTGTATGGAGTGAGCCCCTTGGAGACGAATGATGAATGGGATAAGGTGCTCATAGTGAGCAGGATGGCTTTCGGTGGAGAACCTGGATTCAAGTGGGAGGGAAATGGGATATAATGAACAAGGAAGTGGGAGAAGTGACCGAGGAAATAGGCACTCGCTCGTCGACCTTGCTCTCATACATACAGACAATCATTTCATTTATGTGTATCACTTCATAACTCCCGTTTCCCCCCTCCCTGATACCCAACCGTGATGGTATTTTCCCCGTCCCCACTCACCGACATACTCGCATATGACCCCTCCACCACCACCTTGACACCAGTATCCGTCTCCCCACCCGAGACGAGCCGCGAGTTCAAATAAACCGATACGCTCGAATTCGTCACCGGAACTGAGATCGTGCCATTATACCCATCCGGCGCACTGGCGCTCAGGAAAAAGACTCCTTGCGTCCAGGCGCTGTTGTCCCAGTAGACTGCGATGGGTCCTTGAGGGGTAGGAACCACGCCTTTAGCCCATTGCACGTCTCCCGGGATGGGCTTAATGTTGTAGGACGAGAAGCCAGGGCCGGTAGGCGTGACGCCCAAGACGTTATTGGTGAGCGCGGGCACGATGCCCGTGGACCAGCCATGGGCAAGCGAGGTGAACGCGCCTTCGTATTTCGAGCCATTGGGACCGATGCCTTCCCAGGCCGTGATTCCGGGTTCGTTGCTAGCCATCCAGCCGTACATTCTGCGGATCTGCTCGAGCGCTGAGGCGGCAGTCCGGTCTGGAAGCGCGCGGAGATTTCAAAGTACGAGATGAAGGCGTAGACGCGTTGGGAGTAGGATTCCGCAAGCACGTCGTTGTCGTAGAAGGCGTTTCCGTAGGGGCGCGCCATGGCGCTGGAGAGGTAGGAGAGGATGGAGGTTGCGGTCGTGTGGTTTGCTACGCTGCTGAGGATGCTGATGCTGTTGCCATCTTGGGCGTGGGTGGCGCAGGGAGAAGACCCGCAGGTGCCGTCCCAGAATGCACCGACAGACGTGTCGAAGAGCTCGCCATTCACAGCATCAGAAACGTTCTCGGCTCTTGCTGTCCAGCGTGATGCATCGTCATCGTGACTACCGAGGAAGGTCGCGATCGAAGCAGCGTGGTTGAGTGCGAGGACGTAGAGAACGTTGTAGTAGGTCACGGGACCGGTTCGAGGGAGGAACGCATAGTCGCCGTAACCAGCGGAGACTCCAAGTCCTTTCTGGAGAAGGCTGGTGGTGGTGTTTGTGATGGAGGGGTAGAATGTATCTAGAACCTTGACGATATTCGGGTAATAATTTGTGATGTACTCAGTGTCACCAGTGTACATGTAGAGATCATAACTACAAACGACCCACCACAAGGGATAATCAAGCAGTGGGAGCGTATAGTCTCTTCTAAAGAACCATCAGCTTTATTCATTCTGAAGATACTCCATGGAACTTACATGCTTGCTGGTGGGATCCAGCCGTCCGACCGCTGATGATCTCCAAGATCCGCAAGAACATTGCGGGCAGCCTGTGGAACATCATGACTCAAGTATGATGTTAGAGCAGAGACAGCTAAATCACCAACGTAAGGATCGCGATCCCGCTTAGCACCGTCGTGGATAACGAGCTTGCCGTCTAATGTCGGACTGTAAGCTCCTCGCGGTTCTGTATCATTCTCTCGGAACGTGTCGGTGCACATGTCATTAGTGTAAACGGAATCAAACCACCATTGATTCAACTGCTCATCAGAGCTCTGGAACCACCCGGTGAAGGTGTCTGGAGTACCAAGAAACCCTGTGAAATTCAAGCTCATCGAGGAAATGGAAACAGAGCCATAGGATGTCGTGTATGGAGCGTCTGCTGGGAGAGCATCCATGTAGATCTTTACATATCTATAGCCGTGAAGGCCATCAGCACAGACTTTTGTGCCCTCGAATTCGCAGCCATGAGTATCTGTCCAGGTGTACGGGTCTGATTCAACAGCAATCTAGGCGGTCACATGAGCATACAAGCAAACATTTCCCAGAGTCACTGACCTGATCAGATCCCGGAGTCGTCTTTTGTCCATCTTGCTGCGTCAAGTCAGACGTGCATTCTTGTCGATAACATATTTCAAGAGCTTACATTGTCTGATCGCGAGAAATCGCTCACGTTGGTCAGGTATTCAAGCGTTTCCGAGAACGCTAGTCTGATGCTAGGGATCCCTGGAGTCGAGTTGTACGCTCCTCCAAACTGTATAGAGAGGAATCCAACAACGTTCCTCCCGAAATCCACGACGATTGTAGGGATAGTATCCCCATCGTTCCTGGTCAAGGTTGTTACACCTTGTCCTGTCAGTAGACTATCCACATTTGTGATATTTCCCTGAGTGTAGTTGGAGACAATGGCCACTGGAGAGACAATATTTCTGGCTGGTGATTGCACGTATCTCTCCCAGTCATCTGGACGTTCCAAGCCAAGCGTGCCTTGATAAGATGATGAAGTGGCGGGATAACACTGAGCAATATATCCCCAGAATGAAACAAGAAACAAAGTGGAGCGCCACATGATGGCTACAAGAGAAAGTAGTAGTACTAGTTTCTTCCACGCTGACGACTCGCCAGCTCGTAGACCTTGTAGCGCCATGGTCGTATATATACACTTCGGCGACTGGTGTATAGTTCTCCGCAAACCATTCACGCCCTTGCTATGCCGAAGCGGCAGTTGGACCTCGCAGAGAGCGCCTCTTTCCTCGTTCGGTCTTACTACACATTTCCCGTCTGGGCTTCGAGTGTGATTTGACAACATATTCGCTACCACATGCGGGCATTCGGTGGTGTGGGGGAGTTGGAGGTAACAGAACGAACGCCACGAAGGCTCACGAGGGAGGTTGTGGTCGTTGGTTGCATAGCCGAAGTGGGAAAGGGATAGGGGTAGCCTGAACCGGAACTAGACTGTACACAATCAATCTATGGCCCTGCATCACGATAACGCATATATGGTTATGAAAAAGAAAGAAGCCTAGCAATAACTCGCCCGCCGACCACCTGGTAACAAACCATCAGATCTTGAAAACCCCGCAATTGTATAGTCTCGATCCGATGCATGTTTCCATCTTACACGGAGTGGCTTGGCCAGATACCCGAGCGGGACATCTACGCGCGACCACCTCCTCTTTCCGACCCTGTCTACTGCAGCCTGCAGGTGTATCTGTCTCTACGTTCCGGCCCTTTTCTTTCATAAACTTCACCTTCTCATATTGTATCCGCGCTCGAAATGTCCTTCCCCTCACTCTACTTCACGGCCTGCTGCTGTGACATGTCTTTACCCCGCTACTGTAGCGAAGCTTCAAAAATGTCAACGCCTTCATGTTGTATCGCATTACATTTTTCTGCGGAGTAGACCAATCCACTCTCGATGCATATTGGGAGCCTCGTATTAATAGTATGTAGTTTTCTGTCAGTATAACGGACATGCTTATTCTTCATATTTAATCGTCATTTTATCATGTTACTTTAGCACTTATGTAAACCCCTGTCCATCCCATGTCGTGTTGGTACAGTGAGTAATGTGCTCAATCAAACCGCAAGAACCCAACTCCTGATTTGGTTGGAATGAGAAAAGATGAGTGTTGTACAACATATTATTGAGCCAAAGCTGCTAAATAATGTCAAGCGGATCTGTAATTAAGACACGACTGGAGCCAAGGCAGAGAGGTCTTTTAGCCTTGCTTATATCTCGTACTCTGCAATCTCTTATTTCTTATTCCTCTAGAGGGTATCAGTGTTCAATTCGTTTCGAAGGGTTTGCTCACGTGATCAATACACATCCCTCAAAGATGCAAGTGGCAATAAGCTTTTATGTGAATAGAATATAGATTTGAATTTATCACTAGATATGTATTTCTAGGGTTTTAGCTGGTACTAAATACCCAGATAAGACTGGTTGAAAGAATACACGTGACTCAGTCTAATACTACTTGGTGTAATCTGAACTGATGACCTGGCATAGCTGATCATATGCCTAAGAAATACGTAAAATGTCACATCTACATCTGTGTCTACTAAGTACCTCGAAGTAGCTGTGAAGTTACATCAAGTGCGCCAGTATCCCAACGGCGCAGCCACAGCCACTTTACCAAGCCTCACTGGCTCGGGAGCTGCCTTGCCCCTCATTTTTAAATATACTCCATATATCAGTCGTATCTAGATTTTAATTTTCAAGTATCTGGAGAACTATCTATCTTTGCCACCGAAGATTAGTCTCACGCAACCTCCACCCAGAATGTCTACAACCTATGCACATATTCTGGCCGCAGCAGCCGACAATACTCGGCTCCTCGAAATTTTGTCAGAAACCGAACATGCAGTTTCAGCGCTTCAGCAAAACAACACTCATATAACCACACTGAAAAAAGAGGCTGTTCAAGAAGAATGGCTCCTTAAGAAGCGCTTGCAAACAGTAGCAAAGGAGTACAGAGAATACATGGAGTACCAAAACTCCCATCTAAAGCGTCTAGCCTACAAACTCGGAGGCAAGAAAGAGAAGTTCGAGGCCGAAGCATCCAAAGAAGAGCGCGAGTGGCTAGAAGCTGTCCAGAAAGAACTAAACGTCAAGAACTCACTAGAACAAATACGACTCAATCTCGCCGACGCAATAAAAACCAACACCGATCTCCACGCCCTGGCATTCTTACACAACTCAGCACAAGCAGAACTTGACGCGCTTTACAGATCCATATTCGATGGTCCTACACCAGACGTTATAGGTGAAGACGAAAAAGAAGCCGAAGTGACTGCAGCAGAAGGAAATTTCAACGCCATCCAACTCCGTCTCACTACCGAGAACAAAGCACACACCATCCTGCTTGACGCGCATAACTTTCTCATCCGCGCACAAGCTAAACTCGAAGATGCGCTCACCGCCGCGATGGCCGCCGCCTGGGGGGGCAGAAACAGAAATCACACTCTTAGGAAGAGCAACGCTTTGAGAAAAGCGCATTTGCATGTTTCTGAAGTCAAGATATTAATGAAGCAGGCGAGGAGGGTGCAACCGCTAGTGAAACCGATTCGGAAGATGGAAATCCCCGAGGTGCAATTTATGACTGATGTGGTATTTGATAATGTCTTTTTGAACCTGAATGCGAAGGAGCGGATTAGGGAAGCTCAGAGGATGTTGGGGTTGGCGAAGAAAAATTTGAAGCGGGAGCTGAATGCTGCGAAAGATAGATTTACGGTGACCCAGGGAGAGTTGGATGATGCGAGGGTGATTTGGGATGGGAAGAAAGAAGAATTACAGCAGATTAGGGCTGCAGCTTTTGATCGCGTTGCTAGTGATAGGAATGAGAGTTCTGCATTAGCGAATACTGAGAGCTTGGGGGGCAATGACTATATGAGTAGCATGATAGAGGAAGGAGCGCCTCCATGTTATGATTGCAAGCCTCTAGATTACTTAAATTAGCTATATAAAGTCCCAGCGTATCGACATTCCTCTTTTTACCTTTGGATTCCGCACTTTTAAACTGGTACGGGCTGGATTGGAAGTATCTTTCTTTGGCTTCAAGCCCATACTTATGTTATACACTTGATACCCTGGATATATCAACTTGAAATGAAAGTTGAGATCCGATGGAATGAGGTTTTATTGCATGACGAGAAAAACCGGACGATGCTCAGTTGTGTAAATATAGGGGCAGAGACTTTGGTTCTGGACTTATACATGCGGGGAATATCTCATATCGGCAGTGTATCTAACCTATCAAAGGTGAAACATATGTTCCCTAAGATGATGCTTTGATGCTTTCCGGGTTGTGAAAGACATCCTGCGGATCAATGATTCCCTTCAACTGCTCTAGCCTCGGCAAGTTCGACCTATAGTACGCCTGTTGTGGATTCGCCAGCTCAGGATCAACATAGCCAGCATAAGAACCCAAAGTGTTCGGCGGATACGCCGCAGCAATGATATCATTCATTTCTGTAATAAATGCCCGAGTCTTATCAGTGACTTTCAAGATATCCACACCATAAGTCTGAAAGTAGAAGAGGGCATCGCGGTGGCCGTAAGCTGTTGCATTCGCGGCAGGGTCGTTGGTTGCTCCACCTTCGAGATCAAAGATCGCGAACCAGATGAGCGTTCCTTTATTGACGGTATCCAGATTTTGGAAGAACCTGTCCACTGTGGCGTCAGGAATAAGATTATCTTTTGTGAAAGCCAGATTCTTCGAGTAGAATGCTGACGGAATAACACCACCAATGGTGAGTCCAACATTCTCAGCCCAGTTGCCGACAAGGCCCGCCCAGTCGTTGAATACGAGAACCGTGGAGTTACTATGGCTCGGAAAGACGGACTCGAGGCCGAGGGAGTCAAACTCTTCTTTAGTTCCAAAAAACGTTCCCGAGATTTCCATGCCAAGCTCAGAAAGCGTGACTTGGCTAGCCAGGTTCCTGCTTAATTTCGGGTCGGAAATCAAAGTCTGCCATGCCTTGAAGCGGCTTGTGAGATTTGCATATGGCCGGCCACTGAAGGTGTACGTGTACTGAACGGCGACCCCAGGCGCAGGGTGAGTCTCAACTTTGAAGTTTGTCACGATTCCAAAAGATGATCCAGCTCCTTTGATTGCCCAGAAGACGTCGTGGTTTTGGGTAGGTGAAGCGGTGATAACGGTGGCATTGGCAAGAACGACTTCCACTTCAACAACATGGTCCATGGCGGATCCCCACATGCGAGACATAGGTCCAAGACCTCCCATGGTTGCATGGCCTCCGATTCCAACATCCGGGCATGTGCCATGTGCGATAGCACGATTTCCAGCTGACAGGAGTCTGCTGGTAACATCTCCAAGCTTAGTGCCTGCTCCAATTGTTGCTTGCCAGGAGTTTGTGTCCATACTGAAGTCTTGAAAACTCTTCAGGTCCACGACCACTGTGTTCGTATCTCCTCCACCAAGTGCTACAAGCAAGTTAGCTATACCAGACAAAATTTATATGAAATGAGCATGAGGCAGATTTGAGCTGTGAATATATTTGATGAATTCCTAAGCTGGTGTTGGGATTCATACCATAGTTAGCATAGTTATGGCCTCCACCTCTAGCCTGAACTTTGAAATCCGATGTAACACATGCTACGATCGCTGCGACTTGATCGGCAGTCTGGGGATATGTAACGGCGATAGGCGTAACTGTGATATCGAGGTTGTAAGGATGCACGTCAAGAAGCTGATATAATGGTTTGGTAGGAAAGGCGACAAGATCTGCGTTTCCACCAACAGCTGAGAGGAGGCATTTCGCCTGGGGGCTTGATGCACTCTGTCCCATTTTGATGATCGATTATCGGTGGCGCTTGATAACAATCGTGTACTTGGAAGATATAGACAACTTGCCTTGGGGAGTGGAATATAGAGTAGCATAGCGAAGAACGGAGGACCGACTATTAGCACTCACAATTTACTTCGTCACAGGCTAGGCTTTTACGCCAAGAAGACCAAGGCAAGGGGGCCTTGCTGTGGTGCGTTTACCACCCTTCTTTACCCCCCTGCTATAGATTTCTTGGCGTAAGAGTTTGGCCTGTGACGAAGTTATACTTTCGCCTTCATTTAACAACAGCGACACGTACGATTCACAGCTCCGTGGCTGTGCAACTTGCCACTTGCCATTGGTAGATGCATCCAATCATAACGCTCCCAATCTGGGTAAAGCCAACATCTTACTTTGAAGTATATATCCGAGTGTATTGATTGGTGCCTCCGTTTAAAAGATCCTGGTTGGGTCATGGGCTTGTACTTCGTATAATGATGATGACGATTTTAACCTTTCGGATCGCCCGGAAATTCGCTAATAGACACGATTCTACTTCCTATAATTAGGGGATAATTAGAGAAAAAGGTAAAAAAATGAAGCCGGTTGATAGAGTTTGTCCCGATTTGAGGGATTTGGAACACATCTAGAGCAGCATAATATATACATAGCATTGCTCTAGCGCTGGTCTCTATACGCGGTACTCCGGCAAATACTTGATTCTCGAAGCCTGGATATATGACTCTCTATAAGCTTATTTCAGACGATATTCTTCTTCTTACTAGCTATGGAGGGTCTCTCTTTCAGCGAGTTTACAGCCTCCTAAGCCCTTTGCAAGATAGAGAGGCTAGGCTAGCGGCTACTACTATACTGCAACTCGCATTCTTCTTATAAAGCTAGTTATTCTAGAAATAAGCGTAACTTGACTTTAACCTGCGGCTTGGACTTAGAAGTAAAACTTGGGGAGGATCACTTAAGTAAGAAGGAGTATGGAGGCAATCTTGGCAGAGGGATGGGATCCCCTTTTTTAAGCGACCAGGGTAGGCCGTGGCCCCAAGTGCCGGCTTAGTAATTCGCTTTTACCCCTCCATTCCCCCTTTTCAAACGACCCGATATTAAGAATCAACGTTACTTATGTCGCTAATCTTTTCCTATAGCTCTTCATCCTCTACTAGCTTCCAGTCGAGTAATTCCGTCTTTGTGTTCTTATTTATTTAACCGCACGTAAGACAATTAAATCATCTAACTCTCACATCGTCTAGCAACTTTAGACAGTTCTTCGGTGGCTGCCAAATCCCAAACTGGGCCGACAGCCCCTAGCGAATCATTTATCCCACAATCAACCTCCAGACAACTAAGCATCAGCCAATCTAGCCCAAACTCCCTAACTTCGATTCAAACAACGTTTAGCCAACCAAGCCCAAGTCCATTAGCGGCTCCTGCAGCTTCTCAGCGAAGTTCTCGTGGTCTTTCGACGAGCGTCAAAGCAATAACAAGAGTCCTGATAGCTCTCACCATCATTGCCCTAGCTCTCGCTGTTCTATTCTACCTTCGTCGTAGCATACTCAACCAAAAAAGGGCGGAGGGCATGTGGAATGATGGGGTCCCCCGTTCCGAGCTCTCGACTTCCTCCAATGCCCATGAAATAATGACGAAAAACAATGTGCCTGAAATGGCTAGGGAAGACAGACGGATTTGGACACAGTCTGATTTATATGGTCAGCGAGCTGATGACATGAGGGTTGAAGGAGGACGCACAAATTTTGATACAAGCGATGTGGTTGCGCCATATGAGCTAGGCCCCAGCCAGCCATGGAGCAGTGTACTAAGAGAGAGATCTTGAATGAGCGTTGGAAACCTAATGAAATCTGAACATGTGTAAGAGAAGATCATCCTTGTACACTAGTGTAGATACTGCTGGGTTGTTCAAAGAAACGTTGCACTGTTGGTCGTCCAGCAAAGTCGACCACAGTCTTTGAATTCGAAGCACCGGGAAGGAACACTGTGCTTTTCTAACCTGGCAGCCCAAAATGTTTTCTCAACTCCTAAAATTTGTTCGAGACTCTTATTTGCCCTCCTTTTCTCCTGAGGTACTGCTCAAAAATTGTTTCGTAATATCCATCGTTTGTATAAGATGGCCAGTCCTGTCTGTCATTGAACTCCAAATCATGTCCGTTAAAATATTCCGAGACTTCGCCAAAGAACCACTAGGAACATTATTTCTAGCAATCATAAGGTTCATCAGCTTCTCCCATAACTGCGCTGATAGCGTGGTGATGATAAGCATATACATCGAAACCGTCGTTGCCGATTTTAGTGGCGTGTCGGCATCTACTCTCACCGGCTGTGAAATGTATGATCCTACTTCCAGCTTCGGCAGGATGACGGCCCAATCCCTTCCCACTTGAGGCGGGAGCGAGTGCTCGATGCACGCTTGCATCATTTGGAAGATTGATGTGTAGATTTCTGTGAGACGGGAGTGACATGCAAAAACCATAGACACCGTTGCTTCGTCCACGTTCGAGAACATCCCTGACGGTGGTTTTAAATCGTTCTTTGTGAATTGATGCTCCAGGTGCGAGAATTGTTGGTTATTTGACGATGTGAATTGAGCGCTTAGTTGGGTGGGATCTATTGAGGAAAAGCTCGAGCTTGTTTCCCACCCCAAAAGAGAGATCGACCCCAAAGTATCAATAAACTCGTGAGTAAGACAAAACAGATCATCGATAGCTAAGATCCTCTTTTCGCGTGAGCCGCAAAAGCGGATCGTATCCATGGATGGTAGTTTCTCGGCACATTCGGACAGCGAAATGCTAAGATCTCCTAATCTCCGAGCATGAGATGGAGAGGATTTCAAGTTGTCGTTTAAAATATGAGGATGCGTTTTTGTATGGGGGTTGAGACTTTGGCTGGGAGTTGTGAGCTGGAAGTCGACTGAGTTACAACGAGCTAGTGGGCTATCGAATGCAAGATCAGGCCAGAACACGTCTTGCATATTGCTGGAATTGCTTTGTGAGGGGTCCCACTCTCGATGCACTACTCCTAAACCAAGGATGTTATTAAGAGTACTTTTTAACTTGAACTGAATGAAATGCTCACCTTGTCCGTCGTGAATATATGTTTTTGAATCTGGAGAGACGGCCCAGTCTATACTATTCGTATTGGTATACATCTCAATCTTTTGTGTATCCGGCATTGACATGGACGCAATAGTGTGCTGTAGTTCACTCCAGTCACAAGTAGTGTCCTGTCCTCGGGGCTTCACAGAGACTCGAGGCGCGCGAGCTTCAAAGCGGCATATAGTCTTCAATTTCAAACACCTGTCACATCTCCTCTGCCCTTTCTGTCTAACACATCGGAGTTTCTGCGAGTGGCAACGAGTGCAGGCCGAACGAGTTTTCTTGAGAGCATTGCTTGATTGGCCGGGTGGAGCGACAGTCAGCACCGAAGCCGAAGCCACAGGTATTGTTGTGAAAAGATCCATGTATAAGAGAGATTTTGAATATTTAGATGGTAGAAACAGGGGAAGGATGCGAGAGGAGCTTATAAAGCATGACATGCACTAAGGCAGGACCGGTGTTTGCCCTGCATGTTCGGCGTTTGGTGTGGGGCTTCCCGCTGGACTTATACTATACTGTCCATTGTTCACACCAGTATAATTTCGTAAGTGATTATTATAACTAGTATATAAGTTCGTATGGGTAGACTTAATTGTCAGTCAAAAGCAAGTGAAAAGGAGACACAATGGTTTCTTTCTCTGCTATCCGGACTTCCAATTCCCTCATCAAATCCACCTTTCCAGCCGGTCTCGTCGCCGTCTTCATTGGAGCTACAAATGGAATTGGTGAAGTAAGCCTCAAAACCTTTGCAAAGTATACACACCAGCCTCGCGCCTATTTCATCGGCCGTTCTCAAGATGCCGGAGACCGTATTGCAGCAGAGTGCAAGGCATTGAACCCCGGTGGCGAGTACATCTTCAAGAAAGCAGACGTGAGCTTGATCCGAGTCGTAGACGAGGTGTGCGAGGAGATTAAAAGGAAGGAGAAAAGCTTGAATATCCTGTTCTTGAGTGCTGGAGTCTTAAGCATGGATCACAGTGGTATATTACACCCTGTGGCGTGGTAGACGGCTATTTCCAAGAGCAACTTGCTAAGTCATGAATATAGAAACATCCGAACATGTCCACTTACTGGCATCATTGAACTACTATTCCCGCATGCGTTTTATCCGTAATCTGCTCCCGCTTCTTAAAAATGCCGACACCCTCCGTCGCGTTGTTACTGTTGGAGGGGGCGGCAAAGAAGGTCCCCTGGATACGACCGATCTCCCTGCCCTCCGCGTTCCACTTCCCCAGATTCGCGGTCATCTCTGCTCGTTGATAACTCTGGGTCTTGAAACTGTAGCAACGACGGCTCCGGGAGTCAGTTTCGTGCATGATTATCCGGGCACGGTATTAGAGACAGCGCTTTGGAGAGGTAAAGGAGGACCTCCGCAAGCAGCAATTGACACTCTGGTGCCCATTGAAGAGAGTGGGGAGAGGCATGTTTATCTAGCGACGAGTGCAAAATACCCATCCTTGGTGAAGGAGAATGCTGCAGTACAATTAGGAGATGTAGATAGCGTGGCACTTGACACTAGGGGGAAATTGGGTGGTGGGTTATATTCGATCGGATGGGACTGCGAGAGTGTAGCTCCATTGGAGCTGTTGGCCGAGTTCAGAGAGAAGGATATGGTAAAAGCTGTCTGGCAGCATACAGAGAGTGAATTCACACGTATCGGTGAGCTTAATCGGGGACTGTAATTGTGGATAGCAAGATATCTGTTTCTACTTTAGTCTAGTACCGCACAGAAACAAGGTCTACAATGCCGGTGTTATTCTGATCCTTTGTAGCATAGTTGCGAACTCGAGCCTCTAGATGGAACAGACCTAATCGGAATCCTAGTCTAAGGAGGTTACTATATAAGCACGTTTTAATCATGTCTTCAGCTAAAGTTAAGCCACTAGGATAGAGGATAGTAGTTTCGATAAAAGGGTTAGAAGTAGAAGCGTTGCTAGCATTGCCACGGTAGGGTGTTTAATCTATAATCTTGTAGAAGAGTAATTCTCCCTCCTATAAGACGAAATTAGCATCTACCTCTAGCCTATTAATATACGGCTTAATAAGGATGCCTTTATAGTTAGTCCCAAGCTGCTTGATTTTTTGTACTGCATGGTATAACTTGTTTGGTTAACTGCTTTGCTCACGCTAAATAAGTGGGGACCCATATAGGGCTTTACTATTAAGCGGTAGCGGATCTCTTTTTTGACCTTTTTCTAGTATAATACCTTATAGATGCAAAGAGCTATTAACCTTTTAGAATTGTGTACCTAGAGCCTTGCGCATCTTGTGTTTATTATGTGCGAATTCTAATGCTGCCACATGTTTAGTTTAAAGACTAAGTCTTTCTGCAGCTTTAGCAGCCGGTATTATTTATCGCTGGCCTAAATATTATTATTCCGTCTAGTTTTATATCTTTTAATGCATCCAAGATTCTCGAAGGCAGCTTTCGTACTTGAGTTCACCACTCTTCGTCATTGATTGGTTAATGTAAGTAGAGAACCTCGATAAATAGGGTCCCTACTCATTTAGTCTTCCCTGTTAGCTTACTGTGTTCCTCTTTATCACATACATATATGTTTACTCTTCGGCCGACATCAGGAATCATAATTGTCTCGAAAACGAAAATGGAGGAAAAGACAAGACATAGGGAAGGGAATGCATTTTGTTCTTTACTTAGGGAGCAAGATCAATTTGTCGGCGTTTCTACTGAATACTTGCCTCCTCAGAACTGTTGATTACTCGTAGGGCACAGTGTTGGTTCTAGGGAAAAGGATCTTGAATCAACTGCTGTTCTACAGTGGAAGTACACTGTATATATAGGGCCTTCAGGCCCTATTCCATAGGTTATGCATTCCATAGACTATTGCATACCTAAGCTATTGCATTCCAACATACAGGAATGCTATATTACCGACATCGACCCGAGAATATATGACGGTCTGTCATCGTCGAACGGGCCACCTCTGTACTTCAATACACTCGTACCACTTCCTCATCAGAAACGTATGTGTAGTGGCAAGTTATGACTGAATTGAAAGACAACACTTTAACCAGCTACTCTTACGGAGATGGCCATACGAAACGCCGAGCGCTGGAAGAGCCTGACTTTGTCGGCAGTGAAAATCAGACGACAAAACGACGCAAGATACCAGGAACAACAAGTCTAATCGACACACGGACTGCCATCTCTCTCACCACAGGCAGTTACAAATCATCCGTTCTAGAAATACCGTATCTCACTGATACTATTTCACAGCTCAGCTCAAAATTAAGCTTGATAGTAGAGGTGGTTGTCGCGGGCAAGAGCATCGCTGTAGCCACTGCATTTTCGGCAGCTCCAGTGCAAGAAAGAACCGCATCTAAGGCAGCTGCAGCTCAAATGACTCCTATGGAAATGATGGCTTGGACAGCATTTACTGACGGAACCTGTCATCTGCCTGAAATCGATTGGGACAGTTGTCTTTCGCCTGCGCCCACGTCTCTCAAGTCACTCAAAATCGCACATCGCCGTGCAGAAGTGTTGTTTCTAGGGGTAATAACTTGAATTGACTACTGTTCTACAGTGGGAAGTATGCTGTATATATAGGGCTCTTCAAGCCCTATTTCTAAGCTTTGCCACCTGCTTAGAAATAGCTATTTCTAAGCTTCGCCACAGGCTTTATAAGCTTTGCCACTTGCCACTTACAGGCTACAACAAGAAGCTCTAAATCAACTATACAAAACCGACCGAGCACACGAAGGTCATATTGTCTGGATAATTCAAAATCGCATCGAATTTTTGCCTCTTATTAAAGCCATGGCTCGTGTGATTGGATCAGAGAGAAATCTTGTTGGTGGGCGTGAGGGATGGAGCCCAACTGAGTTTGCAGATCTACAATCAATCAACAAGATACTTTCTACGTCAGAACAGATATGCCAAGGACGTGGCAAAACGGTGCTTTCATCTGATATTCCAGGGGCCATGAATGCATTACGAATCAAACGGCGCCATCTTCAAGCATCGACATCAAAATAGAATTCCGTGGAGCTATGAAACATGGATTGGAATTTTAGGGCCATATAGTATTGCGAATGGGAAATTCTGCGAGAAATGATGCGACTGCTTTCTGTTACCTGGGGATCATCGAAGCGCAACCTAATTTACAGAGACTCATCATCACTCGCCATCCCCGGTATGCGATAACACCGAAGCTACCCAACCACATAATCCTTTGCACAACAAGCTATAGTTGGCTCCTGCTTTTGTGGTTGTTCCTACTGACGTATCGACTGGAGAGATGTGCGACTGCGACCAGCTCTAACGTCATCGTAGTCCTACTTATTAGGCTATCACCGGGGTTGCAAACTTCACTGTTCTAATTAATCATGTGGACCATCTCTCTCACACAAACACCACATTGGGGTGGCAGGACAAGTGGGGATGACGAGGAGAGGGATGCTGCATGGCTCAAGCACTAACTACCCATAACGACTAGTAATCACATAAGAGATGCCTCATAATTCATGTCTATCTATATTTTAAGTTAGAATTTGCAGGTGGTTTCTAACAACGTAGGATAAGACTGACCAAACGCTTGAACTAAAGTTTTGTCTCTTTATATAGCCTATTACGCAGCAGCTTTAGACTTCCTCTTATATTTTTTCTTCTTCGGAAAGTACGAAACCTCTTCCTCCGCTGGTGGCATGGATTCAGCCTCGGGTATCTTAATGGCTCCTGGGGAACCGGGCTTAACTACACTCTTGGCGATCTCTCTGCTTAAGGAGTCGGAATCCTTAGAGGATGGCCTTCCACAGTTGTAAGAACCATTAAACAGAGATCTGACATCTAGCTTAGACCTATTATTAGAACCTTCATCGTCGTTGCTAGGATTATAGTTTGCATATTTGGACTAGAAGCCTCTTTAAATCGTGAAATCATCCCCACCTATTCAGCATATAAGTAATGGTTTAGAATGGGATAGACTAGGTGAGTTTCTTACCAAGAACTCTAATGCCGATGAAGCTTTTACAGGTTTTGGAGCCTTTTATAAGAATATCTAGTTGTCTGGTTAATTGTTCCCGCTAGGCGCGATTTTCCTCAGATTCGCCAGCAATGCAAGTCACAAGGTCGGCTGGCATAGAAGTAACAGTTACAGGAGAAAAGATATCGTAAAGAGGAGAGATAAGCTTAGATTCAATAACTTTAATAGCAATATCGTCGACGAAACGTTTCAGAGCAGCCTATTCATCACATAGATCGGTTGGCTAGGGGGCCTATAGAGGGGGCGAGAAAAAAAGAAGGGAAGAGGTAATCTTATAGTAAGCCTCTATATAATCCAAAGCTTCGAAATATATAAAGCGGTTCATATCAGGTTCTATACGTTACACGAGAGCTGCCACAAGCGGGCGGAAATCTTTATAGTCAGTGGCAAGATACACCGAATCAAGAGAGGAGACATAGAAGAAATCCTTTATAATTCTTATATATTCATCCTCGCTTTATTTATTCCGGACCTTTTAAAGAGCCTTGGTAAAATAATAGTTATAGGTAATTAGATAGCTTTTCTAATATAGTATTAGCAGTTCAGTGCTTTTTTCGTTCAGAGTTCTTAATAGCTGGTTCAGAGCAGACTTAAAGATCTTTTAGAAAAGTGCTTTAGAGGTTGCAGCATTAGCGATATAGGTGGTTATAAGATTAAGGAATACTTTAGCGGCTTTCCAGACTTTTTCAATATGCTTCCAGGTAATCATTTCCTAAGGAGATGATTATTCTAGGAATAAATCTACTACTATCATAGAATTAAAGGTTCCTGGCAGCTCTTAACTCTTAGTCCTCTGCATTAGGTGCTATATGTGATCTATAAATTCTTCTCTTATAGTTGCAGTCACGCCTTTAGGAATAGCAGTCTTGTTTAGAGAGTCTATAATCTTATGGCAGTGACTTCGTCTAGCTATGCATTTCGCGAAGTCTAGGTTAAGATTCTATACTACGGCCCGTATGCGCTTTTAATAGCCGGGTTCAGACTCTGCATCCCTAAAGAACGGATCGTTATATGTGCTATTAATAGAAGCTTTAATTAGAGAGTGGAATAATTAACTAATATGAAGTAGATAGAGTTGTTATTTATTTAAGGTCGCTTAAGATTCTCCTAGCTTATCTAGCCAACTGCGGCAGGCTTTGGATTTGGATTCGATTTTATCGATTAAGCTAGGTAGTTTAGTAGCAATTTATCCGAGAAGTACCTTACTAAGCCTTTTCCGTAACGTGTCAACGCCTAGGAGCGAGCGGGACAGATTCTCCTATATCCCTTGAGCGAAGAATTCTTCCTCCTTGATATCGCGATTAGCTAATAACTATACTCCTGTCTCGGAGTTTATGTTTTTTAAAACATGCCATCCAAGACGAAACTCGACGTCTTAGTTCCTTGCAAGGGAGATATATATGGCTTCACTTCCAGAACTAGGGATTAGAGTATCCGGCTTTATAATAACACCCAGCGTGCGATTACCTGTTTTATTAATAGCACAGGCAAGCTTTAAAACGATCTGGTTGGCGTAGTCGTTCTTAGCCGAGACCACCGCGAGAATAATGCTTCTAGGTTCCTTTATATAAGCCTTAACAACGTCTTATACCAGCTTGACATCGGAAGCGGATTGCTATTTCGTTTCGGAGTGGATAAGTCCGAGCAGGTCCATAATAGTTAAGTGAGGCCGATCGGGACCTGAGACCTTAACACAAAGGAGGTCCTTCAAGAAAGCTTTACTATGCATTAAGATTGCTATAGCTGCTTTCGCGTTCTTAATTAGTGCTAAAAGCCTATTAAAGCCATCTAGCTTCTCGTGAAAGCTACTAAGGGAGAGCTGCTTGGATTCGCTATAAGAGTGATACAAGACGATTAATATAGTTACTATTAAAACTATATGCCTCCTAGGATTATTACCTCTAGAAGGACACGTAGACTAGATAGGGACATAGTTAGGGAAGTGGGTTAAAGGGGTTATATTAGCTTAAAGGAGGAAAGCTACTATAGAGGTAAAGACGAGGTTCTTATAACCTTATATGCATCTCTTAGCAGCCGCGTCACCTAATACTATAAGGGCTGTATTTCTAATACTCCTTTATAGCTCTTACTATAGCATCTCCTTCTATTTCCCTTCTTTCACTTTTCTAAAATAAAAGCAACTACTAACTACTAATCCATTATAACTTCTAGCTGCTCTAAGAATCCTCTAAATGTAACTTAACTAAAGGGTTTAGTAAAACTATCTATAAGTATCTCTAATATTAGTAAGTATAAGACTTTTATCTTCTCTTTTTTAACTAGATCTTAGATATAGTAGTAGTATATATTAATATGCTTTAATTATTTATAAAGGTAGAGATTCTAGACTAAAGCTAGAGCGCCTTAGTTATTCCTATATATATTAACCGCTTTACTATTACTTCTAATATACTCTAGCATCCTTAAGTCTCTAAAGATCTACGCTATCTATTAACTCTATATAGTATATATTACTTAGGTAATATACTCTAATTTATAGCTTAACTTAGCTACTAATCTTTACTTCTTTAATATCTAAAAGAATAGTCCTCTATAAAAGACCCTAACTCCTCTAGAAACACTTTTCTAATTAGACTTATCACTTATCTAATTAGCATCTATAAATATTATAAAGTGGTTTATATCTCTTCTAGGACTATAGTATAGCTTTTACTTAATAGTTAACCAAAGGTATCTTATTAACTCTTTTAATACTATTTCATAGTAGATTACTAGATCACTTATATATTATACTAGGCATCTTAAAACAAATGCTATATTGGGTCTAGTAAAGATTATTACATATATTAGACTTTTAATTATCCTCTAATATTAAGTTATATCTATTCTTTTATTATTCTTATTTGCTAGCTAAAGATTATTATAGCTATTAGCTAATATTAGTTTACTTCTATATTTTGCTATAGTAATTCTAAAACCTATAAGAATCTTATTAAGATAGTGCTCTTAATTAAGATAAATAGTTCTATACTTTTAGTTATAAGTAATCCTTACGCCTAATATCTTAGAAATCTCTTCTAGAGGCTTAGCATTAAACTAGTATAAAAGCATATTAAAAAACCAGTTAATATTATATTACTTTTCTATAGTAGTAGTAATATTATTAATATAAACTAGAAGATACACCTTTTATATATAATAGATAAAAAGATATAAGTTAGCTAGATTTTATTTAAACTTATATATCTAGATAAGGTAGCTTTATAGTAAGAGATTCCAATCTTATCCTGCTTATTTTAGACTATAAAGGCTCTATAGAAGTCTTAAGCATTTCCTAGTTACTACTTTAACGCCTTATAGTAGAGCTATATAGATTACTTTCTTAAGATGTAATTCTATAAAAGTATTCTTAATATTAAACTAAGAGCACTATAGGTTGCACTTTATAATTATAGCTATAAAGATATAAAGTATATCTATCTAGACTATTAGAGTAAACGTCTTAGTATAGTCTTTTCTATACTTTTAAGTAAAACTATATACTATAAGTTAAGTCTTAAAGCGCTTAATCTTATTATTAATAGTTTTCTTAATATTAAATACCTATTTTATAGAAACTAAGTTTACTTCTCTAAGAAGTATAAACTCCTCTTAAGTGCTATTCTAGATTAGAGTCTTAATCTCTTTCTATATTACTATATCCTATTCTTTTATATGCTTACTCTTTATTGCTTTCTTATATATATAAGAGATATAAATCCTCTATTTAACTAAAGCAGGCAGTGTAGTTTTAGATAAATAGTTATATATTTTATAAAGTAGAGCATAGAATATCTAAAAGATCTTCTCCTTTCTCTTACTTCTACTAGTAATTAGTAATAGGATAGTAATAAAGCATTTTTTAATCTTAGGTGATTCCTCTATATCTAGGCAGTTTAATAAATCTAGGAGTAATAATATAACTATAATGCAGACTCTTTTAGCTATCCTTTCTTTACTTTCCTCTCTAGAGTTACTTCTCTTTCTAGTTTAAAAGAAGAAGTAGAGCATTTTAGCTTAATCTTTCTTAAGTTTCTTTTTTATATATTTTACTCTATCCTCTTAAGACTTACTTAGAAGAGGCTTTATATAACCTAAGATAGTCTTAGAAAGGTTACTCTTATAATTAACTTTACTTTCTAAGATAGTCTTAAGAAGATCGCTTCTCTAGTTTTTTATATTAACTAGAATAGTCTTAAGAAGCTCAACTTTCTCTATAGGGTCTTCTAGGATTAATAGAAGATCTGGTTAGTGCTTAATAAATAGTATTATTACTACTAGCTTTAAGGTTTTCTAGGGTTCCTATTTAATAGACTTCTTAGCTAGTTAGCTTTATAGTTTATAATTAAGTAGGTCTAAGAATATTTCTTATCCTATAACTCCACTTAGCAGATTTCATAGCTGGAGTTCTAAATCTCCCCTCTTTATTAACTTGTAGAAGATAATAGAGCTTAATCTTTATATATAGCTAAGGTTAGTAGAGTAGAACTAGTACTACTTATTAGTCTTACTACTATAGCTTAAGAAAACTACTTCTTGCTTTCTATTTACCTGCTTATTATATAGCTAAGTGGCTAGGATAGTCTTTAGGTCTATATATATAAAACACTAGCATCTCTATACTCTTAGGTGGTTAGAGATCTATTTAATACTTATATAAGCTTCTTCTAGAGATATTCTCTTACCTGTAATCTTAGGTCTCTTAGGTAACTAGTTTCTAATATGCGTATTAGTTTCTACTATAAAATACTAGAATTCTAATAGTAGTTTAGAGCTTTTTATTATTATTCTTATTATATTTTCAGTTATCTAGATTACTCTCTTAGCTAGTCTATTCTAGTATAATAATATAATAGTTATATACTCTATAGAAATACTATTCTCTCTTTCCTATCTATCTATAGTATCTTTTAGTTCTAGAGTATTATCTAATCTGCATATAACTACCTTTTATTTTCCTTTCTATTCTTATCTCTTCCTCTATTCCTAGAGTCTTAGGATTGCTTTATCTTTTAACTTTAGTAGAATTATCTAGATCTTTTAAGTAAAGTTATTAATAATCTATAGGAAGTACTTAAAACCTTAGATTAACTTTATAAAGGGTCCTATAATATTAATTAATATAAGTGCTAAGGGTTTAGACTTATAAATAGCTAGCGTCTTATTTATTATCTTTTGCATCTTACTAATTTTATATGCTTTATATATTCTCTAGTAAGGTGCTGGAATCTTAATTGCTTTTACTCTAGTTATAACCTTATATAGATATTAGAGAGACTTAGTACTATAGTAACTAAAACGCTTATATATAAGTTAAAAGTATTATTATTAGTTCTTTAATATATTATCTTCTTCTAACTTATCTAGGTCCTAGATGCTCTTAGAGTCACTTTAGTATTCCATTTCTTTAAAGGCAGAAAATGCTATTTCTAAATAATATTTTAAGATAGACTTTATATAATACAGACTATTCTTTTACTTTATAGTAA